AGAAATAAACCAAGAAGTACATAATAATAAAAACATCAGAACAGCCAACAGTGTCTGAGACGAAATTCAGCAATTAAAACAACAAAACGTAATTGTCAAATGGCATTCGTTCCTGTTCTTATAGGAATATAATATATTTCAGCAAAACTGCAAGAACCAGCAAACACTTCTGGACTAGGATTGAATACCATTGGATAGTATCTATCATGCATTCACAGATACAGTATTATCAACTGGTATCAATGGGTCTGTTCCCACTTCTCACATTTCATTTCATAATCTTTCAAACACTGTCTTAACATATCCCATTATGAACCAGACACATACATTGTATTCTTCCTCAGAAGTTGCTATAATGGTAGTGGTGCATCTTGTTACATTTCCAGGTTTACAGATCACTCACTTTGGCTCATTGACTTGGCTGCACTGATCCATAATGGTTCATGTGTTTCACCATAACCCCATCACTGTTGAATGCTATAATTTTTTAGCACTTTCGATTGTTTAAAGTGTTCCTTCTGCAAGTAAATTACTAATTGACTTTTACAAAGAATACCAGTCCAGAGATGCTACACATCATTCACTGTGGCCACATTACATTTTGACAAGGAATAATTCTGGTCTGTCCAGACTCTTAAGTTAAGCTTCCAGCCCACACTTAAAAACAAATGTCTTGTGTCAGCAGTTTGATAAGTTGATATAGTCTATTTCATCACCTGTGAGTTGTCCTATGAAACACATGTTCTATCAACCTCAATTATAAACAACAAAAACAACAGGGCTGAGATTCCCATAGACAAGGTTGCCATTTACAATCTTTATATGAACACAATCCATACGAACATGCTAAGAGACACTGACACCACAACCCCTCTCTCATACAGAAAATAAAGCACACATTTTCTTTGCATTTTAAATGTTACTGACAAGTGATCCCTGTGTATTTGGTGATGATGGCAAAAAATCTTGGGTTGTTCTGACGTGTGATAATGGATGAGACATGAGACTTAAAAGTTGCTGTAGAAATATTTCTCCCTCTGCAATGTGTATCTATATCTGTGATCCGCTGCCAGTTGTGATTGGACCTTGTGGTCTTCAATGCTAGTGTCTATTTCATTTGATGATTATCTGTTCTGCAAAAATTTACTTAGTTCTCTTGTTAAGCAATATAGCATTCACATTACTTGGCACCATTGGCAAAAGATTATTGGTAGCCCAAAACAAAAATGTAAACATAACCATAATTGTCTTAAGATAATTTTGCAGATTTCCCCTATCTCTAAATACATTATTTATTTATTTTAAACTTTTTAGTATTCGCAATAATGTCATGCTTTAGCAAAATGTTCTTCTCAAGAACAATCAAAATAAAATAAAATACTCTTATAGTGAAATAGTTTTAATCATTTTACAGAGCATAGCCACTACTGCTTTTGTTTTGTTTTTTTAACCTTTGTTCATGTTTTTCATGCACATAGCTCATTTTAATCCCAGGTATTTACACTATATACAAACAATACAACCATACTTCTTAGGCATTCAAACAAAACTATACAAATATTCTGTTTTTGTCTCGTACCTGTTTTTGACCCCTTTTTAATGAATAAAATAATATATTTCTAAAATACAATCCCCTTCGGGTAAATGTTTTTCCCTACATACCTTCAGCCTTCTTTATATACAGAAACCGCTCAATTGTCAAAAATATGGATTTGTCTAACCCCTATTTTGGGACTAGCTTAGGGACCCCTCAAAGAATCTCTAAGACGTCAAGGCAATGTATGTGATCTTCCCCTCAAAAGCCCTCACAGGCCCTGAAGTTCATTTAAAAAGAACAACAATAACCTTCATGACTGTAATCATTACAACACAAAAGAGGCAAGTTTTCTTTCTTTTTAGAATACTGAGTAAACAAATAAGGCAAATAAAAAAGAATAGGACAATGTTGGCATCATTCAGTAACTAGAGGGTATGAATGACTCTTGGGGGAGGAGGTGGGTACATGGGAGACGCCGTTGCATTTTAACATGAAGACAAAAGCAAAACATTGAAAAACAGAGGTTACAGACCTAATTTCAAGCACGCAGGTGAAGACTTTCACCCATAGGCATGCATATTTGATAAAATCGACAACACTGAATTTTTAGGAGACAAGTCAGTTATACCGGTAATGGGCATAAGCACGGAACAGATTCAAGCAAAGAGGAATTAAAAATATATAAAAAATAAAATAAAATAAAATCAATTGAAACCCTGTATCTCTTGCCTCACAGTGCCCCCCAAACCTAGATAACAAAATAATCCATTATTTTAATAAGCCCCACCCATTTCTGCTGACACCCCTCCTACATTCATATGTAGCCCCACCCCTTTGGACTGACTGGCTGGGTAGAGCACAGCGTAACAGAAGGAAGTTTGATCTATTTTCATTTACTATACTGAATGTATTCATCTACTGTTGATAGGGAGTGCAAGTGTGCACATGGATCAATATATTACCGAGAATGTTTGGTTCATTAGGTTAAATGTTTTCTTCTTCAAATGGATTGATCAGTTCACTTAAAAAATTATGAAATACAATTAGAGCCAAGTCCCAATGTGTTTCTGTAATGTTTCCTTACGTTCTGGCCGGCATCTGTCCTCCATCCTAGATATCCTCCATCTTATCCTTTTGGTTTGATCCACTGATGGCAGGGAGCTTTTCAGACATGTCCAACATTCCTCTTCCTTTACCATCTAAAAACCTATACTCCGATACTCCCAAAAAGACAAAGCAATCCATGAAAAAGTGCAAAAAATGCCATGAAGCAAATGTTCCGACCCCCACAGCTTCTTCTCCTTTAGTTTATAATTCTACAGAAGAAGTTGCCACTCTCCAACATACACAACGATAGATAAACGTGAAAAATGCTGTTGTTGTTGTACATGTAATAGAAGTAGAATCAGTCACGCTGCCATAGTAGTAATAATAATCGCAGTGTTTTCACTGAACTGTTTTTTTTCTTCTCTTGTAAAATGTCTTGGGTACAAAGGGGAAAAGAAAAGGAGGAGAGTGATGTCACATTGTGAGGGGGCTCTTCTGAAGGTTCTCATGTTCCTTGTCCCTTTTCAATTCCTTCACTCTGAAACACAGACAGATAGACAGATGTAATTTAAACAGGGGTCTATGATCACAGATCAGCTCTCACTGGATGGTGATTAACTCTAATGTCTCAAACCATTCCCTCCATAGAGGACACCATTCCCTCGAGAGAGGTCAAGAGACATGGAGATTGACACAGCCCTCTTCAATGGGCGCTTGTGCTGGTCTGGAAAGAAAACACTGATAAAACAGACAACTATCAACATTGATAAAGCTTTATTTGTATTAGATCTCATTCAGTCTAAATGATTATGTTGAATCACTAAGGCTTACAGCTCATTGAAACCATTCCTTCAATACTCAATATTCTAATAGGTCAACATTGAAACTTGAAAATGATTCTTAAAGCAGTTTGATTTACTTTTAAACTCTTGAGAATATAATGTGAATGAATTAAGGTCTCTTGATAATTTAACTCTCCCCAAAACAAATCTCAAGAGAGGAAACAGTCCCTTGACAATTCCACCAAATATTTGTTGGGCTGAAAGAGACCATCAAGGCAGGCAGAGGTTTACTAATTGGTTTGTATTTGGAATATTGCTATGCACTAAATAAATGACTTTATTACTCAAGAATTGTGTTTAAATTAGTTTAATCAGTGGACTGTATTATTGTGTCTATCACTAAATGATGAACTACTAACACAATTTAAAATGTAACGCATCAATTTGCGAAAGAGGAGAAAATGTAATAGATATATGTAGACAAAAATATCCTATCCAAACTTGTATTGTGTTTGTATTGTATTATGTATTGAGAAGTGACATTACCATGGCATTACATTTGTGGACCATGTCCAAACTGAGCCAGAGCCAAACTGATGGCTCAGTAAACACCACACCTAATCAGTGAATGGATAGTGACACACAGAAGAACCCCAGCATGTCCAATGGACTCAGCAGATCTGACTCTAAGTCATTAGCCAATTACTGTTCCATATCATAATCAATCTACCTATTGGCCTGTGGTACTTGTACTACTGACCACAGGAAACCTGGGACGGGTGTATTTCCTCTGCCTGGCTGTACTTTCTATACGGCTTCTGAGAAAAGTATTCTCCTCATATGCATTTAGGGTGAGTGGACAATGAGTGGATAGAACCAACCACATTTTTACCATCAAGGACCAGTTTTTACCACTGAGGACCAGTTTGGAAACAAGTGTTCTAATTTATATGTTTAAGTGCTATCCTCTAGGAATACATTGTACATATTGTTGTTCATGTTTTTTACCCAAATAAATGTGATTAAATTCAGATCGAACAATGCATTACATTTCACATGGGTTTGCACATGTGTATCAACCAAAAGTCCTTTAACTGTATCACTGAGTCTACAGAGCTCAGTGGTGAGCCCCCACCTACAGTGCTATTTATGTAGGTTGAATGATTTTCAGTGTGCTACTTCCTCTTCCTCTTTGTCTGAGATGCAGTGTTCCCCTGGGGTGTGAATCCATTACGGGTACCACTAGTGCTGTTCTAACTTCTCTGGAGGTGCATGGCGGGGACTTCCCATTGTTTGCTTGGTACTGCTAGTCTGACCTATTTGTGCTATCACAGCACTATAACCCAGATCTTAACAAACATGTATGCTACCTCACCTGCTCTCAAAGCACAGTAACCCATACCGTACAGTAAGGATTTCTCAGATACAGAGGAAGTTAAGTTATCTGGGGGATATAGCCTTATCAACCTAACTATTTGTCATATGGAGATTGTGCTGATATATTACAATGAATTGATCATACAATGAATTGATCATACAATGAATTGATTCAGACAATGAATTGATCATACAATGAATTGATCATACAATGAATTGATCATACAATGAATTGATTCAGACAATGAATTGATTCATATATTCAAAATGCCCTGTTGTCTAAGAAGATGAAAAACAGTGTTTGTGAGTCATAAAGATGATGACACTGATGATAACCGTCACATGGGTATTTTTGTCAATATGCCCAAAGACTTTCCGGTGAGTAGTCGGACAGACACACAGTTTCTAACCATGAGGAATTTTGTTACATTTTTCAGTGATGACGCAAGTGTCATTGAACCAGCCTTGAAATAGTGACAGATCCCAATGCAACGCCGAGAGGAGCTTGTACAAGACAGTTTCGACAGTTTGAGTGAGCAAAACCCATGGTGATCAAGCCCTCCCTCATCAGAACAGACAGTAAGACAGACAACTGTTTGGGAGAGAACATCCGGCCCATAGCATGCCTGCGGGTACATGTTGAAGAGCAAGGCCCATTGAGTCATGCAACATAGTAAACATGATAGAGAAAAACAACCTTCCGTTCTGTCAATAGCCATTTTCATAACCACACAAATAAAACAAAAAAACGATTCAACTCATTTCCAGAGGAGAGAAAGAGGTGCCTGTTAAGTGTTGCGGTGACAGTCATTCATAAGCAGTGGTTCGTTTGTTTAATAAGAGTAAAGTCTGCTCTGACTCTGAGCTTCTCAGTCAGTCCACCTGTGGCCCCAGTAGGCAGCTGTCATGCAAGCAGGCATCAAGCAACAGTGATGGACAAGGTACAGGGAGGGGGAGAGAGAGAGAGAAAGAGAGAGGGAGGGAGAGATGGATGGAGAGAAAGCGAAAGACAGAGAGAGAAAGAGAGAGAGAGAGAGAGAGAGAGAGAGAGAGAGAGAGAGAGAGAGAGAGTGGAGGAGGGCAAGGACTCAGGAGCTATAACTGTATTGTTAGAGAGAGAGAGAGGCAGAGACATACTGTGTAGACAGGGAGAGAGAGAGAGAGAAGCACGAACTGAGTTGCTGAGGCTGCACTCACCCGCTTGAACAGTCTATGGTCCATCAAGGGGCTTGGCATAAACAGCAAAACAATACCAGACAGCTATTAGCACAAAGTGGGCACTGTGAGGGAAGGAAGGGAGGAGAGGAGAGGTGGGGGGCCAAATACAGTGGAGGGGAGGGGCGAGGAGAGGTGGGGGGCCAAATACAGTGGAGGGGAGGAGGAGGGGCGAGGAGAGGAGAGGTGGGGGGCCAAGTACAGTGGAGGGGAGGAGGGGGGGCGAGGAGAGGAGAGGTGGGGGGCCAAATACAGTGGAGGGGAGGAGGGGGGGCGAGGAGAGGAGAGGTGGGGGGCCAAATACAGTGGAGGGGAGGAGGGGGGGCGAGGAGAGGAGAGGTGGGGGGCCAAATACAGTGGAGGGGAAGAGGAGGGGCGAGGAGAGGAAAGGTGGCGGGCCAAATACAGTGGAGGGGAGGAGGGGGGGCAAGGAGAGGAGAGGTGGGGGGCCAAATACAGTGGAGAGGAAGAGGGGGGGCGAGGAGAGGAGAGGTGGGGGGCCAAATACAGTGGAGGGGAAGAGGAGGGGCGAGGAGAGGTGGGGGGCCAAATACAGTGGAGGGGAGGAGGGGGTGCGAGGAGAGGAGAGGTGGGGGGGCCAAATCCAGTGGAGGGGAGGAGGGGGGTGGGGGGGGGGCGAGGAGAGGAGAGGTGGGGGTCCAAATACAGTGGAGGGGAAGAGGGGGGTGTCTGAAGTGTTGTATATAACCCACCCACACCTTTTTATCAACCCCCAAATAAATAAAAAAGACAAATGAAAACAGAGAACTGTCCCTCTCATCTGTGCAGACTCATTCTAGCCATCTACGGTGTAGTAAACCATTCATATATCTTGCAAATCCCTACACTGAAAGAAGGCATTTATTTGGTAGTATGTGTGTGTGTGAATATAACAAACGTATCTGGAAACCCATATGAGTTAGTGTTGTGGGCGGGGCTTACCTGTGGCGGCAGCGGCGTAGAAACCTCATGATCTTCCTGGCAGCCTGATCCTGCCTCTTAGTGAGCAGACTACTTCTACAAGACAAGAGGGAACACTGGCTTTTGAAAGGGTCCACAATATTCAAAAGATACTGTGGATGTGTGGAGCTAGTGTAGTTTTACAGTGCTTGTGCACTTTTTCAACCATGCCTTTAAGCTTTACTTTGGAGATTCTGTATAGCATGGATACTGTCCTCTCCAGTACTCAGGAGCCTTAGTGTCTTCATCAATATAAAAACATATTTACAGAACTTGTATGTTCAAAATCTAAATCAATTATGCATGAACACTGAAGGACACTATGATCCTGGAGACTGCAAATGGTACTGCGGTCGTTTGTCCCTTACAAATTGATTTCCCCAAATGAAGTCTGCAAGGTTAAAGTGGCAGTCAGCGGTTGCCTTCTCCCCGCTCCTGTTTCATAAATAAATCTGAGGGATGGGGCTGGAGAAATGTACCACTCTCTAATTCATAGACAGAGCTACGGGTACAAGGACTGACCATCCATGGTATCAAAATACTTTTGAGGGTATATAGTTTGTTTAAATGTACTTTGTTTCCAAATATTGGAGTAAAACAAGCTTATATTTTGGGTTCTGATGGGGTGCGACAGTTGAACTAAGCTCATGAGGCATTTATAAGTTATATTCTTCAAGAATCAATGGGTACATATAATTCATTTATAAGTCCCTAAACAGATGTAACAACTGCAGACTGCTACTAACTATCCTGGAATGAGGCCCAGCCTCCTGTATGTGTCAGTGTGTGTTACTGCGTAGCTACCTGAGTTTATGCTGCTGTATGTTCGTGTGTGCGTTATTTAAGCAATAAGGCACGAGGGTGTGTGGTATATGGCCAATATACCACAGCTAAGGGCTGTTCTTAGGCAAGACGCAACACAGAGTGCCTGGATACAGGCCTTAGCCATGGTATATTGGCCATATACCACAAACCCTGAGGTGCCTTATTGCTATTATAAACTGGTTACCAACGTAAAAATAAATATTTTGTCATACCCGCAGTATACGGTCTGATATACCACGGCTGTCAGCAAATCAGCATTCAGGGCTCGAACCACCCAGTTTATAATGTGTATTTAACTACCTGAGTTTGTGCTGCTGTGTTTCAATGTGAGTGTGTGCTACTGTGTGTGTGTGTGTGTGTGTGTGTGTGTGTGTGTGTGTGTGTGTGTTGCTGTGTGTGTTTAGCTACCTACGTTTGTGTTGCTGTGTATGTGTCAGTGTGTGTGTTGTGTGTATACATACCTGAGTTTGTGTTGCACCAGTGCGGTGGCGGCTCCTCTGCGGTGGGGCCTGAGCCTGCCAAACTCCTTGTAGCCGCGGTAGTATTGCTGGATCAGCACGGCCGCCCGCCTGCTCTGCTGGAACTTCTTTTGCTCATGGTAGCTGCGGAACTTACTCTGGATAAGAATGGCGGCCTGCGTCATCTTCTTATAAAGTGCATACTGCCACAGAGAGGACCAGAGAGAGGAGGGGATACAGGATCAGGAACAGGGGGTTGGGAAGACACAAACAATGGCCTCCAATGCACACATCTATTGTCTGATTCACACTATATGGCCAAATCAAGTCAAGCCAAACTGGGCTGCCCTGGTTACGCATTTACTGTAGTTGCTGGAACCGTGCTGGAAAATAAAATAGACTAGCCAGTATGGTGAAGGTCGGCCCTAGACTGTGAATCAGGCACAAGACTATATTACTGGACTTAGGAAAGGTGCTGATGTAGATTATGAGTATCAATATAACCAAGTCAAGTGTGACAATCAAGTGAACTTAGGTTGCATTGTAAGCAATCTGAGACAGTGAAAATGTGTTACCTTCAAAGCTATCCATGTAAGCTTGTAAACAAAGAAAAGGTGAGATTGTGAATCACGAAGAGGCATGAACAAGGATCAGCCTGCGCCTAGAAAAACGAACTAAACTGAATAAAGTTAAACGCTTTCTAAAAGTCCCTAATAAATGTATTGCAATCAGTCCTACATCTATCCATTATCTGTAAGGTAATGTAATATGTACAAGCATCCAACTATTGAATCTCCATGTGTGTTGTAAGGGGCTAACTGTGCCCAGCTTACCTGTTTGTACTTCTTGTAACAACGTTGAATGACGGCCGCAGCTACTTCCTGTTGATCTCTGAATGGGCGTCCCTGTGAGAGAGTAGGAGAAGTCAGAGGTCAGAAGTCAGAGTATAGGAAGTGGCGTAGTCTACTATAGAGCGCCACTGCTCTATGAGGTCTCTTCGGACAGAGGGAGGACCTGGGGTTGAGGAGGCTGGGGGAGAGGCTCCATCCTGGGCTGGGAGAGGAGAGAGGTAGATGGTGGTGCCAGCCCAGAGTTCTTCTCCTACCCAGTCTCAGCTGGCAGAGGGGTAGAACAGATGACAGTGAACGACAGCGAACAGTTTGAGACGTGGAAACTCATTAAAGCTAGCCATGGGGGGGAGGTAGCAAGGTGAGGCATGGGGGGGGGGGGGGGGGGGCTGGGCAGGGTATGTGGAGCTGGTTAAGGACAGGCAGCAGCGGGCTCCCCACACATAATTTAAAGAGTAAGAGAGAGAGGGACAGAGAAAGAAAGGGAGAGAGCGCTTATAGGGAGCAGTGCAGTCGTTCCTTAAAGCAAGGCCATGCTCTGCTCAAAGCAATCCTTTCCCATGCTGAAACCACAGGGACCACAGAGTTTGAGTGTCTTAGTGAGACAGATACAGAGAGAGAAAGATGGGATAACATATGAGTGTTAATTAACATAATCCATTGATGATTACTGGGTGAGGGTCCTCACAGCATAGATAGTGTCTTGTGCACTCAGCACACTTCGACACAGACCAGGACGTAGTTTTGTTCATATAGCAACCTTTCCAGATTCAAGGGACCCATTAATAACGTCACATTTCACCTGATAAAATTAAGGTCAACACCACATCAACATAGAGTGCCAGTCCTAATAAAGTTGCTGTGAAAATAATTCTACAGCAGGTATGATACTGTGTGTGGTACCTCATCCCCGGGCCTGTACCTTGTACTTGCGGAAGGCAGTTTGGACCAGACGGGCGGCCTCGTACAGCTCCCTCTGCTCGGGGTCGGACAGGGTGAGCTGGGCCAAGTCTCTCTCCACCTTGCTGTTGGAGGCCTGGAGGAACTCGCTCCAGTCGGCCGGGGAGGGCCTCTCCATGGGCCCCTCCCTCAGGGGAGAACCCTGTGGGCTGTGGCTGGGGTTGGAGGACGGAGTGAGAGGCTCACTGTACAGAGATCTGGAGGAAGAGAGAGAGGGAGGGGCAGGGGGATGGAGGTGACAGTTTAAAAAGTAGTCAGATAAGCATTGTTGTCAGAAAATGTAGTACCAATACACAACTGCTATGCCAAGCACAGGAAATCTTCTGCAAAACATTTAGGGTCAGTTTCCCAGATCAGAATTAAGCCTACAGATTCTCCATTGAGCATTCTTTTTAGACCAGGTATAGACATAATCTGGGTACAGAAAACCAGACCTAGATCACATTCAGTCCAGAGTGCGGCTCTTCTGTGTTGCTCACCGTAGATGTATAATGCTGGGCAGCTGCTCCACGTCTCCAAGGTAACTGGCCAACCAGCTCATGGTGTTGCTGACCCCAGTACTGTCCATGGGCACTCCGTCCAGGGCCACAAAGTTCTCCCTCTTGATCCTCTCTGGGGTCGCCTCAATGATGTGCTCTGCCAGAGTCATCATGTTCACCTGCAGGGGGTGAATCACCCAGGATTGAGTATACTGTAGATCACACAATTAGCACATTTGTACCTTATTGTCTGTCTGTTTATTTCATTGATTTACAATGACGTGCTTTTTGGTTCCGGTGCATCATAATGTTGCAGGAAGGATGCATCATTACATCCCCATTTTCATCTTAGATATTTCCACATTATGAATTTTCAAGTTTAGAATGATTTCTAAGAAACAATGAACATTAAATATGACAATGATCGTGATCATGACAATGACTATGAAGATGATGATTGTTAATGTTGTGCTTCCCTCCTCTGCCCCTCATCTCCCAGGCTCAGTCTCAGCCTCAGTAGCAGTGTGACTGTGATGGATGGCAGAGTGCTCCCTTGGCTGTGACAGCCGATCAATGGATGGAGTTTATTATGTGGTGATGGAGGTCCACACACTGCCAGGGATGCCTAGGATCCCTCTGTGTGTGTGTGTGTGTGTGTGTTGACTTCACACGTCAGGGGATCCAGTGGCAAGGCCCAACAGAGCTGCCAGCGGTCAATCTCAATCTTCTTGTCATGTTTATTCACTGGCAGTCCAGCTCTATAGACGTGAGGTCGATACTATGACGTGCTATGGATATTGTTGTCTGGTAAACAAGTGTGAGTGTACGTGCAATGAGCAGGCCGATGGACAGGGTTGGCAGTGCAGTGAGTGGTAAACAGTAGAGTCACTGTCTTGAGTAAAGAGATGGTAAAAAGTAACTAAACTCAGCAAAAATAGAAACGTCCTCTCACTGTCAACTGCGTTTATTTTCAGCAAACTTAACGTGTAAATATTTGTATGAACATAGCAAGATTCAACAACTGAGACATAAACTGAACAAGTTCCACAGACATGTGACTAACAGAAATTGAATAATGTGTCCCTGAACAAAGAGGGGGGGGGGGGGGGATCAAAATCAAAAGTAACTTCAGTATCTGGTGTGGCCACCAGTTGCATTAAGTACTGCAGTGCATCTCATCCTCATGGACTGCACCAGATTTGCCAGTTCTTGCTGTGAGATGTTACCCCACTCTTCCACCAAGGCACCTGCAAGTTCCCTGTACATTTCTGGGGGGAATGGCCCTAGCCCTCACCCTCCGATCCAACAGGTCCCAGACTTGCTCAATGGGATTGAGATCCGGGCTCTTCGCTGGCCATGGCAGAACACTGACATTCCTGTCTTGCAGGAAATCACGCACAGAACGAGCAGTATGGCTGGTGGCAATGTCATGCTGGAGGCTCATGTCAGGATGAGCCTGCAGGAAGGGTACCACATGAGGGAGGAGGATGTCTTCCCTGTAACGCAAAGCGTTGAGATTACCTGCAATGACAACAAACTCATTTCGATGATGCTGTGACACACCGCCCCAGACCATGACGGACCCTCCACCTCCAAATCGATCCCGCTCCAGAGTACAGGCCTCAGTGTAACGCTCATTCCTTTGACGATAAATGCGAATCCGACCATCACCCCTGGTGAGACAAAACCGTGACTCATCAGTGAAGAGCACTTTTTGCCAGTCCTGTCTGGTCCAGCGACGGTGGGTTTATGCCCATAGGCGACGTTGTTGCCGGTGATGTCTGTTGAGGACCTGCCTTACAACAGGCCTACAAGCCCTCAGTCCAGCCTCTCTCAGCCTATTGCGGACAGTCTGAGCACTGATGGAGGGATTGTGCGTTCCTGGTGTAACTCGGGCAGTTGTTGTTACCATCCTGTACCTGTCCCGCAGGTGTGATGTTCAGATGTACCGATCCTGTGCAGGTGTTGTTACACGTGGTCTGCCACTTTGAGGACGGACAGCTGATCGTCCTGTCTCCCTGTAGAGCTGTCTTAGGTGTCACAGTACGGACATTGCAATTTCTTGCCCTGGCCACATCTGCAGTCCTCATGCCTCCTTGCAGCATGCCTAAGGCACGTTCACGCAGATGAGCAGGGACCCTGGGCAGCTTTCTTTTGGTGTTTTTCAGAGTCAGTAGAAAGACCTCTTTAGTGTCCTAAGTTTTCATAACTGTGACCTTAATTGCCTACCATCTGTAAGCTGTTAGTGTCTTAGCGACCGTTCCACAGGTGCATGTTCATTAATTCTTTATGGTTCATTGAACAAGCATGGGAAACAGTGTTTAAACTCTTTACAATGAAGATCTGTGAAGTTATTTGGATTTTTACGAATTATCTTTGAAAGACAGGGTCCTGAAAAAGGGACGTTTCTTTTTTTGCTGAGTTTATCTCCAGTAAAGAGACAGTAGAGAGTAGGGTGAGTTAACTGACCTGCAGGTCGTTCATCTGCGTCATACAGTCCTGGTTCTCCAGATCTTCTCTGTAGGACAGCAGCTCAGTGTCCACCATCTCTCTCTCAGCCATCACCAGCATGTTCCCCATCTGTTCCCTCTGTCTCAGCCTGCTAGCCAGCTTCTCCTTGCCCAGGCTGCTGCCCCCAGAGCCCCCCGAGCCCTTCCTGCCTGAGCCCCCGCTGGAGAAACTCTCTCTGGAGCGCCACTTGGCTCCCCCGGCTTCTCCAGCACTTCCCCCACCGGAGAGGCTCTTGTCTGGGCTGAGGCCCTCATGGGACAGGCTCTTAGGGCTGAAGGACAGCTTGTGTAGCTGCTGCTGCTCCAGGCTCAGTGGGACAGACATGGCCTTGTCGGGCCGGGCCTGGAACATCTCTGGGTTGGGCTTGTGTTTCTTGGCCAGGGGCAGGTCTCGCTGGCACTCACTGCTGTAGTAGCTGGAGGGCTCGGATCGCGGCCTTCTCAAGTCTGCAGAAGGGATATAAGATACTATTTTAGAGACATTTAAGCAAACAATATTTACAAAACGTTTTTGTCTAAAGCTCTTTTCCATCGTTCCTTTCCCCCACTCCTGTCCTCCAGTCTGCTCTGACCTGGGTTGAGATTGCTTGAGGTGGTCGTGGCCGTGGTGGCACCTCCTTTCTTCCCGCCGGGCGTCTTCACGCCGTCGCTGGCCCATGTGACCATCCAGCTGTCTGAGGTGGGTGCGTCGTGGGGGGTGGGGGAGAAGGACATGCGTGTGGTGGGGGGCAGGGGTGCAGGGGGCTGCTGTTCCTCTCTCTGCAGCTGCTCCAGACACTCGGCCAGCTTGGTGTGGCCGCGGGAGCGGGCGATGGACAGGGGCAGGCGTCCCAGGGAGTCAGGGATGGCCAGGGCCCGTCGGTCCCATTTATACAGTACCACTGCCGCTTCCAGGTGACCCAGGGCACACGCCCACATCTGGAGAAAAAACAGCAGGGGCACAGGTCACAGGTCAGAGGAAAGATGCTAGCATGCCTGTGGTAACTTTACTTTCTTGGAAAAGTTTCTTACAATTTAATTATTTATGAAAGTCTACAGGGATTGAAAGGCTTTACGGAAGACTCCTGCAGTGGTTTCATGAGATACAGTTCTCTATATCTTACCAGAGGGGTGCAGGAGAAGTGGTCCACATTGAGGGGGTCCACCTCCAACTCCAGGTCAATGCTGTCTGCATGCTTGGTGCTGTTGTGGGATAGAACAGAACACTGTACTCCCAGACTGAACTACCTATTGCTAAAACACAACATTATCTACATAGATTAATACTTTATTGACAACTTTTTAACACAATCATTCCTGGTCCTAAATTAGTTCCATAATAGATATTTACATGTCCCAAGGTCTCTCTGTATATTACTTTTATAAACAGACAATCAGAGGTCTCTGAGGTTCTCACTCACCGCCACTTGATAAGTGTCTGGATGAGGGTGGCGTACCCCTGCCCTGCGGCCAGGTGGAGCAGGGTCATGCCCCTGAAGGTCTTGGAGTGGATCAGGTGTTTGGACTTGGCCCAGCAGGCCCGGTTCATCATCTTCTCACACACCACCACCACACGGCTCTCAAAGCTGCTGCCCGCCTGACCCTGCCCTGTCACACACTGACAACACACACAAACACAACAAAGGTTACTTTCAACTACAACACCAACACTTTACAACACTTAACAACACTTGACTTCTCAAACAGAAACATACAGTACGTTTTTTCCATGTAATCCTCCATAAGCCAAATATCTACTAAGTACATACAATATCAAATACATTTCCATATCACTGAATACATCACAAAGCCATTGCTTCATCAATTAAAAAGTGCATTTCCTATAGTATGATGTACTTTACCTGTGTCTGGCTGTTGTTACCACCACCACCACCTCCTCCTCCACCTACTCCTGCTCCTCCTCCTGCCCCTGCACCTCCTCCACTGCTCTGCTGGTGATGGGAGGCCATCTCTGCCATCCGTCTCTCCATCTGCTCCAGGCGCTCCAGGATGGACATTCTGAACTGGTTATCTGCAGCACAGAGACATATAACACACATCAGCATCCATAGACTTCCAGTATGGTTATCTGTGACACCCAGTTAGTACCATAGTGACATATGGTACCTCTAAATCAGAAGGTATCTGCAACACAGACATCTAGACACGTCTTATATTGTCAGAACACCAGTGAACCCCAGATACTGTAGTCATATGAAGGCATATGGAAGGTATCTGCAACGGGCAGATGCATACACACACATCAGCAAACCAGTGACAAGGTTAGTGCTATAGTGTAGGGGTATGTATATAAAGCCTTCACATAAGCCCAACATGACATAATGGGACTGTCTAACCACACATTATAAACTGGGTGGTTCGAGCCCTGAATGCTGATTGGCTGACAGCCGTGGTATATCAGATTGTATACCACGGGTATGACAAAACATGTATTTTTACTGCTCTAATTACGTTGGTAACCAGTTTATAATAGCAATAAGGCACCTCGGGGGTTTGTGATATATGGCCAATATACCATGGCTAAGGACTGTGTCCAGGCACTCCGCATTGCGCGTGCCTAAGAACAGCCCTTAGCTGTGGTATATTGGTCATATGCAACACCCCCTCGGGGCTTATTGCTTACATTTCACACCACTCATGTTCTTTCTTATGTATGAGATGCTCCATGCTCATTTCCCTTTATCTGCCGAGAAGAAATGTAATCTAACTTTAATCATTATTAATCACGAGTATGACAGCGATAACAATAACATCAATCATCACAACAATTGCCTTTACTTAAATAACCTTTAAGGCCCATCAATCGCGTGCTAATGGCTACATGCACAGTAATTCAGTAATTCATAAAAGGTTATTTTCCTCTAGTACTCTGTCATCACACAGTCATCTGGACTGGATGATTGACCAGAGAGTGGATGGAGGCTTGGTGAAAGTGTCCACCCCTGCACACACACACACACACACACACACACACACACACACACACACTCACTCCTACTGATTAACTAACTCTAGTCCATTATGACCAAGGTTTATCATTCCTGCTGTGTCCTGCCCCTCTTGGCCACAGAACACTACCTTTGGCTTATATGGTAGGAGGGGCTGAGAGCCACTGTACAAAATCACTCAACAAGCGCTTGTCCATAGTCCTTGAGAAAGAAAGCTTTTCATAGACAGACAGATGGAGACTATTAGGCTGTACAGTTTCTAAATGCTGCTGGCAAATAGGTTTCCAACCATGAGCAGTGTTAACCAACAAATCCACAACGTGGACTGAAAGAAATGCTCCTGGAATTACTGTTCAAAAGATAATAAATGCTGAGTAATTTAGAAGTGCTGAATGACTTAACAATGAATTACAACCATACAGAAAATTGCATGCATACAGTATATTTTATGCTTGAAGCCACAAAAATAAAACCAAATGATGAGGACTAATTGGAAAGAAACCTAGTCAGATGGGTAATGGTTGGAGTGAGAAGCAGGACTGCACTCACTGCACTCCATCAGTTGTGTTAGAGGTCCCTTTAATCACTCTCAAAAGCTGCAATCTGACCTGCACTTAGTGTGCTTTAGCGCACAGCGCAGACATCAAGTCCATTGCACCACCATAGAGGAGAGAACTCTATGCTCAAACACACATACTCACGCACGCACACACACACACAGACAGACACACACACGCACACGCACAGACCGATGTGCACAGATTGTGGGATGGGATGGGTACAGTGAGCCCACTGCAGTAGGAAAGGCAGGCATGGAAGGAGTGTGGAACACTGCATTAGCGTTCCTCATTTAGCCACAGTGAGGCTGTTTCTGTGGCAACCTGCTGCCGAGCAGTAACTAAGCGACAGGAACATGCCTGTGTGTGTATGGTTCCTTCCTTCCCGCGGCATTGGCTTACTGATGAATGGGAAGAGGAAGACTTGGAGCACAAGTAGAAAACGGGGAAGAAAATCCCACAATGGAAAAAATACATACATACATACATACATACAGTGGGGAGAACAAGTATTTGATACACTGCCGATTTTGCAGGTTTTCCTACTTACAAAGCATGTAGAGGTCTGTAATTTTTATCATAGGTACACTTCAACTGTGAGAGACAGAATCTAAAACAAAAATCCAGAAAATCACATTGGATGATTTTTAAGTAATTAATTTGCATTTTATTGCATGACATAAGTATTTGATACATCAGAAAAGCATAACTTAATATTTGGTACAGAAACCTTTGTTTGCAATTACAGAGATCATACGTTTCCTGTAGGTCTTGACCAGGTTTGCACACACTGCAGCAGGGATTTTGGCCCACTCCTCCATACAGACCTTCTCCAGATCCTTCAGGTTTCGGGGCTGTCGCTGGGCAATACAGACTTTCAGCTCCCTCCAAATATGTTTTATTGGGTTCAGGTCTGGAGACTGGCTAGGCCACTCCAGGACCTTGAGATGCTTCTTACGGAGCCACTCCTTAGTTGCCCTGGCTGTGTGTTTCGGGTCGTTGTCATGCTGGAAGACCCAGCCACGACCCATCTTCAATGCTCTTACTGAGGGAAGGAGGTTGTTGGCCAAGATCTCGCGATACATGGCACCATCCATCCTCCCCTCAATACGGTGCAGTCGTCCTGTCCCCTTTGCAGAAAAGCATCCCCAAATAATGATGTTTCCACCTCCATGCTTCACGGTTGGGATGGTGTTCTTGGGGTTGTACTCATCCTTCTTCTTCCAAACACGGCGAGTGGAGTTTAGACCAAAAAGCTATATGTTTGTCTCATCAGACCACATGACCTTCTCCCATTCCTCCTCTGGATCATCCAGATGGTCATTGGCAAACTTCAGACGGGCCTGGACATGCGCTGGCTTGAGCAGGGGGACCTTGCGTGCGCTGCAGGATTTTAATCCATGACGGCGTAGTGTGTTACTAATGGTTTTCTTTGAGACTGTGGTCCCAGCTCTCTTCAGGTCATTGACCAGGTCCTACCATGTAGTTCTGGGCTGATCCCTCACCTTCCTCATGATCATTGATGCCCCACGAGGTGAGATCTTGCATGGAGCCCCAGACCGAGGGTGATTGACCGTCATCTTGAACTTCTTCCATTTTCTAATAATTGCGTAAACAGTTGTTGCCTTCTCACCAAGCTGCTTGCCTATTGTCCTGTAGCCCATCCCAGCCTTGTGCAGGTCTACAATTTTATCCCTGGTGTCCTTACACAGCTCTCTGGTCTTGGCCATTGTGGAGAGGTTGGAGTCTGTTTGATTGAGTGTGTGGACAGGTGTCTTATACAGGTAACGAGTTCAAACAGGTGCAGTTAATACAGGTAATGAGTGGAGAACAGGAGGGCTTCTTAAAGAAAAACAAACAGGTCTGTGAGAGCCGGAATTCTTACTGGTTGGTAGGTGATCAAATACTTATGTCATGCAATAAAATGCAAATGAATTACTTAAAAATCATACAATGTGATTTTCTGGATTTTTGTTTTAGATTTTGTCTCACAGTTGAAGTGTACCTATGATAAAAATTACAGACCTCTACATGCTTTGTAAGTAGGAAAACCTGCAAAATCGGCAGTGTGTCAAATACTTGTTCTCCCCACTGTACATACACATCCATTCTCCATCACTGTTATAATAATAGGTCATAGATATATTATCTTTCCTGAGGCGACACTGCAGTAACAACGTAATGACTTCCTAAGTGGGGAGCCGCCACAACAGGGTCCCTGTGACATTTACGCTACTGGCGTATCTTGGCAGTCAGTCTCAGGCAGAAGCTCTCCGCTCTTCAGGGAGTGAATGTCATGCTTGCGTTCACTATAAGTCAATATAGAAAGAGGACAAGTAATTGTTACTGTTAATAGAGTCAATGGCCAGTAAATTACTGCTATCACTGATGATGTGTAGTAGATTTAGAAAATCTAATGGATGTTCACCCCACACACACACCATCCTTGTGTCTCCCCCCAGCTTTCATCTTGTCACCAGCCATTGCTGACACTTAAATTACAAACGCAAACCCACCTATCCCCTCCCCCCCACCATAGTGATACCTTTCATCACCTCTCCATAGGTGGCTAAGGGCAAAGTGATGATGAGGGCTGCAGAGGTGCATCAGCCAGCCCATCCCTTAGTGGTAGGAGGGGGAGACAAGGGTGAGAGGGGTTAAGTAGGTCACAGCCCTGCAGCATTTCTAGGCACCAGGGTTATGCTCTCTGAGAGAGGAAGGATGAGAGGGGGAGAGAGAGACGGTGGCGGGGTCAAGAGGAGAGGACTTAGCAGCAGCAGAAAGTCTGGCTGACATGTCTTTGTTCAGACCCAGTGCTGCAGTGTGCTGCAGTGCAGATGATGTCATCTCCACCTGCTGCCTGCTGCTCTGAATGCGATGCACGTATACTGCAGAGGGAGGTGGGAGGGAGGGAGCGCAGAGCGGGAGGGATGAAAGGAAGGAGGGAAGAGGGGAGCATGCATCCAGCCAAACAGAACTACAACAACACTAACATCACCAACACCATCCCTCATACCTTGTTCCTCCCTCTCTTGACAGTGTATAATAGCACACGTCTACACTGGTCACTCTCACAGTCAGGCAGCTAGGCTGCAGCGACACAGAGCTCTGACTGACAGGGAGCCTGGCACATCATATGAACAGTAACTGACTAATCACTTACCTCAGAAAACACATGCAGACATGTATTAGCTGACAAACAGGAGTTGCTCAAACTGGGTTTGTGTGTTTGAGTGAAAAAAACGGTTTTGTTTCAAATCAAATGAAGAACAGGCCAACAGATTCTCATTCTACAGACTCCTTCATCCTATAAAGCTATGGCTGACGGTTTGAAATACACTACATAACCCCTTAAATGGTTAAGTGAGAAGGGAACAAAAGTACTCGCTTAAACTCTTCAGGTATAGTCTAAAGCTTCTAGTAATGTCTGTGAGGACTTGAGCCACAGGTTTGGAGCATGCAGGGTAAGTGCAGCACAGTAGAGGACAGGTCTCTGTCCTAGCCGAGGGATATGAGGACAGGACACTATCTATTTCACTGCAGATACACACTGCCCAGGTTGAGAAGGCGCAAGACAGGCACACATTCACACACACACACACAAAATCTCGCGAACACACACACTAACTATGTGAAAGACCGGGCAAACTAGGTACAAGCACTTATTTTGCAGTAAATTAGCTCTCAATGTATGATGTAGTAGCATGGAGTGGAAGGTACATGGAAGGCCACAGGAGACTAGTTAGGTATCAATTATGAATATTCTACACTTTTACTACAACTACTTAGTCTCAATAGTCTGGATGCCAGGCTAACAATATTGAGTCTCAATGGTCTGGATGCCAGGCTAACAATATTGAGTCTCAATGGTCTGGGTGCCAGGCTAGCAATACTGAGTCTCAATGGTCTGGATGCCAGGCTAACAATACTGAGTCTCAATGGTGTGGATGCCAGGCTAACAATACTGAGTCTCAATGGTCGTGATGCCAGGCTAACAATACTGAGTCTCAATGGTCTGGATGCTAGTCTGGATGCCAGGCTAACAATACTGAGTCTCAATGGTCTGGATGCCAGGCTAACAATACTGAGTCTCAATGGTCTGGATGCCAGGCTAACAATACTGAGTCTCAATGGTCTGGATGCCAGGCTAACAATACTGAGTCTCAATGGTCTGGATGCCAGTCTGGATGCCAGTCTGGATGCCAGGCTAACAATACTGAGTCTCAATGGTCTGGATGCCAGGCTAACAATACTGAGTCTCAATGGTCTGGATGCCAGGCTAACAATATTGAGTCTCAATGGTCTGGGTGCCAGGCTAGCAATACTGAGTCTCAATGGTCTGGATGCCAGGCTAACAATACTGAGTCTCAATGGTCTGGATGCCAGGCTAACAATACTGAGTCTCAATGGACTGGATGCCAGGCTAACAATACTGAGTCTCAATGGTCTGGATGCCAGTCTGGATGCCAGGTTAACAATACTGACTCTCAATGGTCTGGATGCCAGGCGAACAATACTGAGTCTCAATGGTCGGGATGCCAGGCTAACAATACTGAGTCTCAATGGTCTGGATGCCAGGCTAACAATACTGAGTCTCAATGGTCTGGATTTAGAGCAGAAGTGTCGGCTGACACCTTCCTCCTCACACACCAACCTGTGGGTCCGTTAATGCCACTCAACCACTGTTCTACAGCTGGATCCCATCATTATCTTTATGTGACTACTGTATCAAACCACCACATGTACTGATCTAGAAAGGCTGGGTCCAACCTCTGTGACTACTGTAGCAAACCACCACATGTACTGATCTAGAAAGGCTGGGTCCAACCTCTGTGACTACTGTAGCAAACCACCACATGTACTGATCTAGAAAGGCTGGGTCCAACCTCTATGCGACTACTGTAGCAAACCAACACATGTACTGATCTAGAAAGGCTGGGTCCAACCTCTATGCGACTACTGTAGCAAACCAACACATGTAGGCTAGTAGAAAAGCTGTGGCTATAGCAAACCCCTGCATGTTCAGTAGTTAGAAAGGCTGTGGTCCTACCACCCTCAGAGTCTGTGACTGTGCAGCATATTCTCCTGATTGACAGAAGCTGGTATTTGTGCCTGTCTAAAGGAATAGGTTGCTAGGCTATCTGGCACAGGCTCACACAGCTGGGACCCATGGGTACCCTGATAATCAAAGGCTAAGTTGCCTTTCTTTCTTTGGCATAATGACCAGCTTTGTTTGTTCTGTCCATTGTGTTTTTTTTTCTTTAATAGGGGTTTCCTCTTCCTTCAGCTTGTAATGGGTTTATGTGCAGTATTTTTTCTCCTGGACAAAGTATAGGATATTGATGAGAGGTTTGAAAATACAAAAGTTAAGACCACAGAAATAAGTTAATTTCCTTAATTTTCTTTGGGAGAGTGCATTTATCTGAAAACATTGACCCCACAAATGTGTCCGCTTGACACAACAAAGAAACAACAACAAGGGTCGTCATGGGTCAAAACCAGAAGAACACTAGACCTTTCCTTCTGAGAACACTACATAGATAGGATCCAATGTCCTGTAGTGATTATAGCAGGTTAGCGTTTTTCGTCATGAATCTTGATCTGGAGGCAGCTCTGCAGAGTGGTCACTAGTTGGAACAGCCACAAAGTCATAAAACCTGATTTTAAACTTAACCACACTGCGAACCCTAATGCCTAACCCTAACCTTAAATGAAGACCAAAAAGCCAATTATGACTTTGGAGCTGACCCATCTAGGGGAAATAGCTCAGTTCTGCTTCAAGGACAAGCTTTATGTTATGCTCTATATTATTATGGGGGTGGCAGTAGCCCTGAGGTTAGAGAAGCGTGCCAGCAACCAGAGGGTTAACGGTTCGGATTCCAGTGCTGATGGGGGTAAAAATCTGGCAGGGGTGAGCCTGAAACCAGAAGGGTGCCACCTACTGCCAATGTTCCCTTGAGCAAGGAACTAATCTCCTCATTGGGCATTGCACAGCGGCTGCTCTCCAACCTAATGTGTGCATGTGTGTGTGTGTATACAGTTGAAGTCGGAAGTTTACATACACCTTAGCCAAATGCATTTAAACTCAGTTTTTCACAATTCCTGACATTTAATCCTAGTAAATATTCCCTGTCTTAGGTCAGTTAGGATCACCACTTTATTTTAAGAATGTGAAATGTCAGAATAATAGTAGAGAGAATGATTTATTTCCACTTTTATTTCTTTCATCACATTCCCAGTGGGTCAGAAGTTTACATACACTCAATTAGTATTTGGTAGCATTGCCTTTACATTGTTTAACTTGGGTCAAACGTTTTGGGTAGCCTTCCACAAGCTTCCCACAATAAGTTGGGTGAATTTTGGACCATTCTCCTGACAGAGCTGGTGTAACTGAGTTAGGTTTGTAGGCCTCCTTGCTCGCACACGCTTTTTCAGTTCTGCCTACAAATGTTCTATAGGATTGAGGTCAGGGCTTTGTGATGGCCACTCCAATACCTTGACTTTGTTGTCCTTAAGCAATTTTGCCACAACTTTGGAAGTATGCTTTGGGTCATTGTCCATTTGGAAGACCCATTTGCGACCAAGCTTTAACTTCCTGACTGATGTCTTGAGATGTTGCTTCAATATATCCACATAATTTTCCTTCCTCATGATGCCATCTATTTTGTGAAGTGCACCAGTCCCTCCTGCAGCAAAGCACCCCCACAGCACGATGCTGCCACCCCCATGCTTCACGGTTGGGATGGTGTTCTTCGGCTTGCAAGCAACCCCCTTTTTCCTCCAAACATAACGATGGTTATTATGGCCAAACAGTTCTATTTTTGTTTAAATCAGACCAGAGGACATTTCTCCAAAAAGTATGATCTTTGTCCCCATGTGCAGTTGCAAACCGTAGTCTGGCTTTTTTATGGCGGATTTGGAGCAGTGGCTTCTTCCTTGCTGAGCAGCCTTTCAGGTTATGTCGATATAGGACTTGTTTTACTGTGGATATAGATCATTTTGTACCTGTTTCCACCAGCATCTTCACAAGGTCCTATGCTGTTGTTCTGGGATTGATTTGCACTTTTCGCACCAAAGTACGTTCATCTATAGGAGACAGAACGCGTCTCCTTCCTGAGCGGTATGACGGCTGCGTGGTCCCATGGTGTTTATACTTGTGTACTATTGTTTGTACAGATGAACGTGGTACCTTCAGGCATTTGGAAATTGCTCCCAAGGATGAACCAGACTTGTGGAGGTCTACAATGTTTTTTCTGAGGTCTTGGTTGATTTCTTTTGATTTTCCCATGATGTCAAGCAAAGTGGCACTGAGTTTGAAGGTACAGTCGTGGTCAAAAGTTTTGAGAATTACACAAATATTAAATGTTCAAACTCTGCTGCCTCAGTTTTTATGATGGCAATTTGCATATACTCCAGAATGGTATGAAGAATGATCAGATGAATTGCAATTAATTGCAAAGTCCCTCTTTGCCATGAAAATGAACTTAATCCCAAAAGAACATTTCCATTGCATTTCAGCCCTGCCACAAAAGGACCAGCTGACATCATGTCAGTGATTATCTCGTTAACACAGGTGAGAGTGTTGACGAGGACAAGGCTGGAGATCACTCTGTCATGCTGATTGAGTTAGAATAACAGACTGGAAGCTTTAAAAGGAGGGTGGTGCTTGAAATCATTGTTCTTCGTCTGTTAACCATGGTTACCTGCAAGGAAACACGTGCCGTCATCATTGCTTTGCAGAAAAAGGGCTTCACAGGCAAGGATATTGCTGCTAGTAAGATTGCACCTAAATCAACCATTTATCGGATCATCAAGAACTTCAAGGAGAGAGGTTCAATTGTTGTGAAGAAGGCTTCAGGGTCGAAATGTGTGTAGGGGTTGAAAAACGAGTTTTAATGACTCCAACCTAAGTGTATGTAAACTTCCGACTTCAACTGTATATCAGAGGGGTTGAATAAAAGCAAGACACGCGGAATGACACTATGATAAATGACAACACAATACCCTTATGCAGCTGTATGAAGGCACAGCTTACACTTGTTAGTCAGCTAAACAGAAGCAATTTCTTAATTTCTAGTTTTTTTTTTTTTTTACGTTTGGATTATGTGTACATTGCTATTGTATTGCTAGGTATTACTGTACTGTTGGAGCTAGAAACATAAGCATTTCACTGCACCTGTGATAATATCTGCAAAACTGTGTATGTGACCAATAAACATTGATTTGATTTGATTTAAAATCACTGCATGTGTCAGTCACAGCAATGTAAAGTCATCTGTCTGTGTCAGTAATAGTTCTGACTTGTGGTATGATATATTTATGACAGCATCTTGGTAAGTAATAGCCCCCCACTGCTATGTGTTGGAAACACAACTATTGACAGTATACTGTGCTCAGCCTGAGTACATGGTAACAGTAAAGGGTTAGCTATTAAGAATAACCAAAAACTATAACTTATGGTAAAGCTATTGAAGAGGCACACACACACATTTGCTCAAAAAGTTTCCGAAAAATATAAGAAAGTTATGTTGATTATGTGTGGGAACTTGAATTGGGTCATCACAAATTGCCTTAAGGGGATGCATAGAGAGGAGACACAAAATATCAATTTCCTCCCTCCACAGGTTCCATTTCTGTAAAGCCATGCCCAGAGGCTAGCCATTCCCAGGTAAGCATTTCCACTTCACTGGAGCTGCTCTCATTCCATCAACCATTTCTAAATAGACAAACTCCTGCAGCAGTATATTATTACAATTGCATTTGAAACAAACTACGGCAGGCAAATTATAATAGCTTCTCTGGTTTCTGTGTTTTGCTATCATTAGTTTAACAAGAATTGACATATGCCAATGTCTTACAGGATAAACTGCCTGCAACATGCTACTCTAAAGTTCTGTTATACTTTTCACATAGTCAATACATGCAGTGCATTCCAGTGCACACCAACTCGACCGCTCGTTTTTAGAGGGAAAATAACTTAACTCATATTTTTGGAGAGGGGGAGAGGGGAATTAGCCTATTAATGATAGGCTACATTCAGAGTTTACATTCAAGTCAACAGACCTGTTACAGTTATTAAACATGACTGGAGGAGCTAAAATAATATGATACTATGTGAACTGCATACGTTTCACAATTCACAAGGCTTATTGTCGCTGTCCACAGCACTGTGGTACTGAACACATTTATGACGACTTTTCACAAATAGACGCGCGCTAATGTCTCTGTCCAAAGCCCCGTGCTGCTGAAAACGTTCTGGCAGACTTTACACAATAAACTACGCGAGCGCTAATTTTGCTATCCACTTCATCGTGTTTCTTAAACTCAAAAACAAGTTGACCAGGAGGGCTCCAGCAGTCTACCTTTTGCGTGCTTACTTGATGTTGGAAAACTAATGATTAGTAACTGACTTCTTTACTTCTCGCGTGCTCATAATACAGAACATACAACGAGACAAAACCAGTTTCACAACTGTGGCCTGTGCCATTGAAAGCATGCAGAAACACGCAGTTGTCGTAAGATGCATATGATTTAGCGACCGAAGCTAAAAAGATAACATGACAGGAGGATGCGACAGCCACCTAGCCTGACTGCTCTTAAATCGCTTCATCAACAAGAGGGGGGAAATCTATTAGAAAACCGTGAAAAGCTATGTAGTAAAAAAAATAAAACACATCTGCAGCATATCGCTGAAGCCATGAGACAAAGTATTTGAAGTGTCCAGTCATCAAAAAGGCATCTCTAGTAGTAGCCTAGCAACTTATTTCACCTACACGTGAACACATCTCCCTCTTGCTACTGGCAGAAGACACTGCTTAGACATGCTGATTTTCAGGCTTTTTGAGAGTATCTCGCTCGTAAGCTATAAATAAACTGTCGATAACCTACCTGGCTTTGTGAGTAATACTTATGCTGTGATATTAAGCTGTGAAGCCATGCTACAATTTGAAGCCCATGCATGTTCAGGATAGTGCTGAAACCAATGCTAAGCTACAATTTAATTGACTATGCAAATAAAACTGAAAAGGCATATAATGAGAGATTCAAAAAGTACAGGAAAACAAGCTAGTTCCACACTAACTACTCTACTGCTACAGTGTGAAATGAAGAAGACATTCACAGACAGTACAACTAAACATTTTGAGAAAGCACACAACAAAACATTCGCAACAATAGTAAACGACTGCTTAACCTTACAGGGTATTACTCGTCTTGAAACAATACAGTTAATGCACAGTCAGCCTTGGAGTAATACCTCTAAAGCCTGTGTAACTTAACTTCTCCTGTTAGTCGCCGGTAGATAACACACAGATGCACCACAACACCGTACACCAAAAATATGAAACTAAACATATCTAACCTTCTACTTCATTTTCCATTGGTAGAATCCCCCTGAAAAGAAAAACTGTTTCCCTTCTCTTCAGGAAAAGCAGATGTCATTCACTGGCATCCTGACAAAAGTCCAAGCATGCTGCATTTCAATTATGTGTAGTTTCCCAATTCCCACAGTTTCTAGGTATTGAATGATGCTATGAGTAAAAAAATATCCGTGGTGTGTAGAAGCTCAATAGAGCACTCATCAACAATAGAACAAAGTGGAAGAGCGACGTGAGGGAAGATAGAGAGAGATAAAGACCGCTCACTACTCTTCCCACTCTTCCCATCATAGCCCCCTCCCCTTCACTTCTTTCTCTCTCCTACCCCCTCCTCCCCCTCCTGCGCTTCTCTCTACTCAGTCCCTCACTAGCCTGCAGTAAAATAAAAAATATCGCTGCGAGTGGACGTTGTCGTGCGCACGTGCAGCAGGTAAACAGACGCCCTAGTTTTCCCTTCAAGCCGTCTAGCTTTTAAAACCTCGCGCCAACTTGGCGCTCTCATTACTATTTATAATTGTACTTCACCGAACTGAGGTGGGTAAATGTTTTGTACAATTCGGGTTTTCTCTCGTTTTATTTTATCTTATGGGGAAAATATTCGACTCATCCTGATATGTAGCCTATAGCTAGACCTACTTCGGTTCATTGTCCCTGAAAGTGAGTAGCATTCAAAGGAGCCGTTGTCTCCCGTGGTAAATGTCAGTTCCAGTCTATATCGATATGATTCATTTGGAGCAAACCGCTTGTTGTCCTGTCTGTCCGTATTTAGCCTACCTAACATTCCCACCGTGACCATGCATTGTGTAGCCTACAATCAGTCTCCTGGTTTGTCATGCGGGTGGGTAGGTAGTTTTACTACAGCGCTTTACTTTCAGATTAAATGGAGAACCAACCGGAGAGGTGAGCAGCTCTGTATGGCCTAATTTGACGTGCACTTTCTTCCTGACGAACCAGTACCCGGTTAGCGAGTGCCACCGGGACCGTCCTGGACCATGGACAGAGAATGATTAGTGGGTAAAAGCCTGTTCTGCAGCTCCCATACCTCAGTGTTTTCTGTCCTGCCCATGGCTCCGTACCTGCAGTGCTGCAGAGGAAAGGAAAAGCGCCCCATCCCCCATTCTGCATTATGACAAATCAAGGCAGACAGGCAGCTGTACATACCATTAGCACATCATAGCACCGTTTTAGAATGAACGGGAAAGAGAGCCCAATAGCTTTAGCTTATACCCTACTGCAAATTTAAACTCGTATTATTATTATTAAAGAACGGGAATTATATGATTTAGGTTATTGAGTGATATAATTATGGATCAATACAGGCACACACATGGTTAAGTGTCGCATTACATATATAGTAGTTCTGGAATGGTGTCTTTTCTAGGTTACATTTATCTGTGGTGTAGCACGTGTAAAATTTCATTCATGAAGCGTGTAAAGGCAGCGTTATACAATGCATTAGGTGGAAATATGAAAATCTTAGTAGGCCTAGCCTATGTCTTACTATATTCTTTATTTTAATATAATAAATTGTGCTGCTGTAAGATAGCTAGATATTCACTGAGTGAACAAAACATTATGAACACCAGCTCTTTCCATGACATAGACCGACCAGGTGAAAGCTATAATCCCTTATTGATGTCACTTGTTAAATCCACTTCAATTAGTGTAGTTGAAGGGGAGGAGACAGGTTAAATAAGGATTTTTAAGCCTTGAGACAATTGAGACATGGATTGTGTATATGTGCCATTCAGAGTGTGAATGGGTAAGACAAAAATATTTAAGTGCCTTTAAACGGGGTATGGTAGTAGGTGCCAGGCGCACCAGTTTGTGTCAAGAACTGCAACGCTACTGGGTTTTTCACGCTCAACAGTTTCCCGTGTGTATCAAGAATGGTCCACCACCCAGCCAACTTGACACAACTGTAGGAAGCATTGGAGTCAACATGGGCCAGCATCCCTGTGAAATGCTTTCGACACCTTGTAGAGTCCATGCCCCGACGAATTGAGGTTGTTCTGAGAGCAAAGGGTGGCCGGGGGGGGGTTTCTTAAATCTCACTGAGGTTTCTTAAATAGAGCATTGGAACAATGTTGTATGTAAAGAAAAAGGTGAACTCGCATACCTTCAGTCCTGCCAGGTGCATGGAAAAAACGCTATACTGAATAGAAAGGAAATCTCCAGCACACAAACAATTGCTATGTTGAATTTTTAAACATGGATGGATCAACTGACACCAGTATGAATCAGTTTATCTCAGTTTATCTCATCAATCATCTGGATCCAATCTGAATAAATTCACCTGAGACAAGTGACCAAGGGATGGCCTGTTCTACCACCCAGGCTTAGGTTGCGTCCCAAATGCCACCCTATTCCACATATAGGGCTCTGGTCAAAAGTAGTGCACTATATATGGAATAGGGTACTATTTGGGGGACAGCCTATATCAGCTGCTTCAGGGCACTGTCCATTCTAGCAGGATGAACTTAACAAACACCATGTAGTATTTATGAGTAACATCAGGACAGGTATTAGGCAACAGAGGCATACATCTGAAAAGCCAGCATTAATTATTTGGACATGAACAGAGTGGAAAAATACATCATGTAAATTATTAACATTCATGGCAAATGAGAGGGTCCAAAATAACCGCCAAAATCCAATACAATATCAAGGCAGAGAGCGGGAGAGGGGAATGGGTTAATAGAAGTAGTAATGTAATAGATCAGACTCTGTTTTCCCTCAGTTCCTTAGCTTAGTTTGGAGTGTAGAGTAGTGAGACAGTCTCTCCTAAACTGGTTCTGTGAATGGACTAGTGAGGCAGAGAGTAGTATGAGTGTACTGTATGAATGAATGGTGGAGGGATACACTGGTTCCGCCGCACCGCACTACTCCTGCCTGGGAGCCGGTGGTTCTTGATTATTCAATCCCACTCCCTCAAGGGGCGTCTGCAATGCAGCTGTCCCGTCAGCCTGTTCCAGTCCTCTCCTCCCCTCTCTTCACCATGCCCTACTTTATCCTGTCAACGCACAGTCACACACACTGCAGTAGCAACACTCTCTCCCAGCTCGGCTCCACACACACACACACACACACATACATACATACAGAGATAAGCATCCCTGCATTGCCTTACTCCATTGCAGTCTACATATACTAATTCACAAGACTTCCTGTTGCAAAGCCCTTGAGTCCTAATCTTCATTGTGCTGCCAATCACAATTTCCATGTGTGCCAAGCAACATACACTCATGTATGTCATAGTGGTTCTAGGAGCTCTATTTGCAGTAATGCCAAGACTCTAAAATCCATGTTCAACTAAGTCAATTCACTGCAGCTATTAGATATTGATCCTGACATGTCTATCAGAACACAATGGCATCCTCTGAAAGACACAGGACAAGGACTGGTGCTCTTCATGGTTCTGGGCCACAGTCCAAATCAAACCCAAGATGAACTGAGTTTCTACTATAGTTGATTCACTGCAACTGGGTTGTTCCACGAAAAGAGTGCCTTTTCACTTTGATATTTTAGGTAGAAATTGTGCACCAATATTGAAGTTTCAAAGCCTGTTATATTACAGCATTTTGACATGTCCCTCTGTGACTTCTAGGAACATTTTAACCCACTTGACCCCATAATGTATCTAAGTTTGATCATTATTGTAAAGCCCTAGTTATTGTTGCTTTGACAAAGCCATTTCTGAAGACTGTTATTTATTTCATGTGATTAGTGATTCATCTAATTACATGAAAGGTCTGTCCCTCATTTTAAGGTCAACCCTGTCACATGAACTGAATTCTCGCTTTAATATGGTGTAACTATACATATATATATATATTTTTTTTAAATGTTCAAAATAAACATTGAACATCTAAAAGGCTAATCCTAAACTGGTTCTATTCTTTTTGGCTATTTTCAGGTGTTTTGTGGTGGAAAACTGAGGGGGGTCAAGCATAACACGTCAACCCTGTTCCCTATAGATAGACAGGTTAGAATTGTTTTAACAATTACAATTCATTTGTAATTGTAATGAGGCTTGCATTCAATTGCCCCTCCCTGTTGCACACAACAAGCTTCCATTTCCCCTGACATATCGGGATTTATGGCTGATTAAATCATCAACCCTGTTACGGTAAACCCTGTTACTTTATGTGGCACTTAATAGGCTCTTAGTGTAGTCATTTTTGTATTTAAACTCTTGAGATGGGAAAATCCATTTTTTATTAAGTTGAACATGTGCTCTGTATGACAGAATGTTAAAATTAGGTGAAATAAAATGTTTACACTACCCAAAAGGTTCTCATTTGGTGGAAAGACCCAACTATTGATCCTGACATTTCCTGACATCAGAAAACATTAAAGACACAGGACAAGACTAGTACTCTCCAGGGTCCTGAAATACAACCGGAACCCAAGATCCTAATGGAGTTGACTCACTGCTGCTATCACACCTGATGGGTCTATAAGACATTCAGACACAGGAGAATGACTAACGACTAGTGTTCTCCACGGTCCTGAAAGCCCATAATGAAGTTGATTCACTACAGATATTGATTCTATAATGTCTATCAGACCACATTATTAACACTACAGTATCCTCTCACAGACACATGACAACAGGACAAGGACTAGTGCTCTCCAATGTACTGAAACAACTCAATCTTCAAGTGATTACTGTCCATCACAGACCATGGACCAGCCACCACACAGCCACATGCCTCTAGAACAGACTCTAATATAAATGGACAGGTAGTCATGATTTGTGACACACAGAGCAGCAACACAACAGCACAGCAGAGAGTCATTTAGGATGAGCCAGCAGATAGCACTTCACTGGTGCCCAGGGCAGAAGGACAGGGAGAGGGAGAGCAAGAGAGAGGGGAAAGCAGAGAGTGAGAGAAAGAGAGAGGAGGAAGCAGAGGGAGAGAAAGAGAGAGGGGGAAGCAGAGAGGGAGAGAAAGAGAGAGGGGGAAGCAGAGAGGGAGAGAAAGAGAGAGGGGGAAGCAGAGAGTGAGAGAAAGAGAGGGAGAGAAAGAGAGAGGAGGAAGCAGAGAGGGAGAGAACGAGACACAGAAAGACATAGTGAGGCAAAAAGAGAGGCAGATAGATCGAGATATCTCACCATCCAGTGAGAGCCAGTCGTGTTGTGAGGAGGGAAGTGAGGGCAGGGCGCGGGCCTTGTACTCAAACACCACTGAGTTAGAGATGATCTGGTTACTGGCAGCCACCTGCAGTGTCACCAGCCCAGTGTCATGAGCTGTGGAGAGAGACAGACAGAGAGAGTCAGAGTCAGACGCTTCACTGATAACTGCTACAACTCTAACACTCCTGACCCTAACCACCTGTAGAACTCCTAGGAACATTATACTCTTCTTCTTAAAACTTCTCAGTGGCTCGGGAGACAAGTGAGACAAAATCTCAACTGAGGAACAGAGACAGGAGTAAAGACCTTCATGTATTGTATGCTGATCTAAGTCTAAAATAAAACTACTGATATCCCTGATAGATACAGTACACTGTGTTTTGAGTCAACCCTGGTGGAAGGATCCAGAGGGTGTGTCAAGGCCAGGCCACTGAGGCCAGTCTTACCTGGGCAGTAGCAGCGCAGCACACCCGGCTGGATGAGAGAGGCGGGGACAGATATCTGGTCAAACAGGCAGCTGTAGTTAGAGCTGGCCTCCTGCCATGGACCAGTGATGAGCACCTTCACTCCTCCCTGAAACAGATAAACACAGACTCACAGCGCGGGAAACGGATAATCTGGATCTGTACTGGGTATTAGGGAGCAAGTGTGAATTTGGCCATTATTTAATGTCATGCTGCCATCTTATGGAGAATAGTAGGAATAACATGAACACAGTGACATGCTCAAACTGGCTAAAATCTAGTGCAAGGGCTGCCATCTAGCGGTTGAAGAGTGTCATTGACATTACACAACCGTTTATTGTCTCTGTGCTATATTTACTGCGCTGCCATCCTGTGGTTGGACAGTGATATTACAGCCATTTTTCTGTCTTACTAAAGTGGTTGCCATCTTGTGGTTGAACAGTGTCATTGGCATTAAACCGACGTTCTCGTGGTCATAAGTTTTGAGAATGACACAAATATTAATTTTCACAAAGTCTGCTGCCTCAGTTTTTATAATGGCAATTTGCATATACTCCAGAATGAGCCCCACCGATCCATCTCGACTGGTCTGCCGACGTAATCGTCTGATGTGGTTTCAACAGGCTTCCCGTTGCGACGACCACGAAGATCCATCTGCTAGCACTGGCCCGCTAGCACGCGCAATCAACAGCCGTGCCTCCTGCTCACCTGTGCTGTAGCAGCCTACGAACTGCTCCCGGACTTACCTATTGCTGTTCACTGGACCTTATGATCACTCAGCTACACATCTGATGCCCGCTGGACTGTTCCTTTACACGGTACTCCATCCTGTTGATCTGTTTAGCCTCAGCCCAAACTTTCGTCGCCATTACCAGTTGTTGTCTCAGCCCTCTCGAATAACACCTGTGATTGCGTTATGCCTCTCTCCCATGTCAATATGCCTAGCCTATTGCTGTTTGGGTTAGTTGTTATTGTACTATTTCACTGTAAAGCCCCCAGTCCCGCTCAACCTGTCTCAGATAGCTTCTTTGTCCCACCCCCATACATGCGGAGACCGGCTCAATCGGTACCTCCAGTGATGCTATCTCTTTCATCGTTACCCAATGCTTAGGTGTACCTCCACTGTACTCATATCCTTCCATATCCTTGTCTGAACATAATGCCCTGAATCTATTCTACAATGCCCGGAAATATGCCCTGTTTATTTTCTGTACCCAACGCACTAGAAGACCAGTTCTTAAAGCCTTTAGCCATATCCTCTGGTGATGTAGGGGTTAACCCAGGCCCTGTAGCCCCCAGTATCACTCCTACCCCCCAGGCGCTATCATTTGTTGACTTCTGTAACCGTAAAAGCCTTGGTTTCTTGCATGTTAACATCAGAAGCCTCCTCCCCAAGTTTGAGTTATTCACTGCGTTAGCACACTCTGCCAACCCTGATGTTCTAGCAGTGTCTGAATCCTGGCTTAGGAAGGCCACCAAAAATTCAGAAATGTCCATCCCGAACTACAACATTTTCCATCTAGATAGAACTGCCAAAGGGGGCGGAGTTGCAATATACTGTAGAGATAGCCTGCAGAGCTCTATCATACTATCCAGGTCTGTGCCCAAACAGTTTGAGCTTCTACTTCTAAAAATCCACCTTTCCAGAAAGAAGTCTCTCACTGTTGCCGCTTGCTACAGACCCCCCTCAGCCCCCAGTTGTGCCCTGGACACCATATGTGAATTGCTTGCCCCCCATCTATCCTCAGAGTTCGTACTGCTTGGTGACCTAAACTGGGATATGCTTAACACCCCGGCCGTCCTACAATCTAAACTAGATGCCCTCAATCTCACACATATTATCAAGGAACCTACCAGGTACAACCCTAAATCCGTAAACATGGGCACCCTCATAGATATCATCCTGACTAATTTACCCTCTAAATACACCTCTGCTGTCTTCAACAAGGATCTCAGCGATCACTGCCTCATTGCCTGCGTCCGTAATGGGTCCTTGGTCAAACGACCACCCCTCATCACTGTCAAACGCTCCCTAAAACACTTCAGCGAGCAGGCCTTTCTAATTGACCTGGCCCGGGTATCCTGGATGGATATTGACCTCATTCCGTCAGTAGAGGATGCCTGGATGTTCTTCAAAAGTGCTTTCCTCTCCATCTTAAATAAGCATGCCCCATTCAAAAAATTCAGAACTAAGAACAGATATAGCCCCTGGTTCACCCCAGACTTGACTGCCCTTGACCAGCACAAAAACATCCCGTGGCGTACTGCATTAGCATCGAACAGCCCCCGCGATATGCAACTTTTCAGGGAGGTCAGGAACCAATATACACAATCAGTTAGGAAAGCAAAGGCTAGCTTTTTCAAACAGAAATTTGCATCCTGTAGCACTAACTCCAAAAAGTTTTGGGACACTGTAAAGTCCATGGAGAATAAAAGCACCTCCTCCCAGCTACCCACTGCACTGAGGCTAGGAAACACTGTCACCACCGATAAATCTACGATAATCGAGAATTTCAATTAGCATTTTGCTATACTTTCCACCTGGCTACCCCTACCCCGGCCACCAGTTCTGCACTCTCCCCGACTAGAATCACTACTCTCGGTGGGTCTGACTTAGAATATGTGGACAACTACAAATACCTAAGTGTCTGGTTAGACCGTAAACTCTCCTTCCAGACTCACATTAAGCATCTCCAATCCAAAGTTAAATCTAGAATCGTCTTCCTGTTTCGCAAACAAAGCCTCCTTCACTCATGCTGCTAAACATGCCCTCGTAAAACGGACTATCCTACCGATCCTTGACTTCGGTGATGTCATTAACAAAATAGCTTCCAACACTCAACTCAGCAAATTGGATGTAGTCTATCACAGTGCCATCTGTTTTGTCACCAAAGCCCCATATACTACCCACCATTGTGACCTGTACGCTCCTGTTGGCTGGCCCTCACTGCATATTCGTCGCCAAACCGACTGGCTCCAGGTCATCTATAAATCACTTCTAGGCAATTCCCTGCCTTATCATAGATCATTGGTCACCATAGCAACACCCACCAGTAGTATGCGCTCCAGCAGGTATATCTCATTGGTCATCCCCAAAGCCAACACCTCCTTTGGCCGCCATTCTTTCCAGTTCTCTGCTGCAAATGACTGGAACGAACTACAAAAATCTCTGAAGCTGGAGACACTTATCTCCCTCATTAACTTTAAGCATCAGTTGTCAGAGCAGCTTACCGATCACTGTACCTGTACACAGCCCATCTGTAATTAGCCCACCCAACTACCTCATCCCCATATTGTTATTTACATTGTTAGTTATTTTGCTCATTTGCACCCCAGTATCTCTATTTGCACATCATCTTCTGCACATCTATCACTCCAGTGTTAATACTAAATTGTAATTATTTTGCACTATGGCCTATTTATTGCCTTACCTCCATAACTTACTACATTTGCACACACTGTATATAGATGTTCTATTTTCTATTGTGTTATTGACTGTACGTTTTTGTTTATTCCATATGTAAGTCTGTGTTGTTGTTGTTTTTATCGCACTGCTTTGCTTTATCTTGGCCAGGTCGCAGTTGTAAATGAGAACTTGTTCTCAACTGGCTTACCTGGTTAAATAAAGGTGAAATAAAAATAAATAAAATAAAATGTTATGAAGAGTGATCAGATGAATTGCAATTAATTACAAAGTCCCTCTTTGCCATGAAAATGAACTTAATCCCCAAAAAACATTTCCACTGCATTTCAGCCCTGCCACAAAAGGACCAGCTGACATCATGTCAGTGATTCTCTCGTTAACACAGGTGAGAGTGTTGACGAGGACAAGGTTGGAGATCACTTTGTCATGCTGATTGAGTTAGAAAAACAGACTGGTGCTTGAAATCATTGTTCTTCCTCTGTTAACCATGGTTACCTGCAAGGAAACACGTGCCGTCATCTTTGCTTTGCACAAAAAGTGCTTCACAGGCAAGGATATTGCTGCTAGTAAGATTGCACCTAAATCAACCATTTATCGGATCATCAAGAACTTCAAGGAGAGAGGTTCAATTGTTGTGAAGAAGGCTTCAGGGCACCCAAGAAAGTCCAGCAAGCGCCAGGACCGTCTCCTAAAGTTGATTCAGCTGCGGGATCAGGGCACCACCAGTGCAGAGCTTGCTCAGGAATGGCAGCAGGCAGGTGTGAGTGCATCTGCACGCACAGTGATGCGAAGACTTTTGGAGGATGGCCTGGTGTCAAGAAGGGCAGTGAGGAAGCCACTTCTCTCCAGGAAAAACATCAGGGACAGACTGATATTCTGCAAAAGGTATAGGGATTGGACTGCTGAGGACTGGGGTAAAGTCATTTTCTCTGATGAATCCCCTTTCCGATTGTTTGGGGCATCCGGAAAAATGCTTGTCCGAAGAAGATAAGGTGAGCGCTACCATCAGTCCTGTGTCATGCCAACAGTAAAGCATCCTGAGACCATTCATGTGTGGGGTTGCTTCTCAGCCAAGGGAGTGGGCTCACTCACAATTTTGCCTAATAACACAGCCATGAATAAAGAATGGTACCAACACATCCGCCGAGAGCAACTTCTCCCAACCATCCAAGAACAGTTTGGTGACGAACAATGCCTTTTCCAGCATGATGGAGCACCTTGCCATAAGGCAAAAGTGATAACTAAGTGGCTCGGGGAACAAAACATCGACATTTTGGGTCCATGGCCAGGAAAGTCCCCAGACCTTAATCCCATTAAGAACTTGTAGTGAATCATCAAGAGGTGGGTGGACAAACAAAACCCCACAAATTCTGACAAATTCCAAGCATTGATTATGCAAGAATGGGCTGGCATCAGTCAGGATGTGGCCCAGAAGTTAATTGACAGCATGCCAGGGCAGATTGCAGAGGTCTTGAAAAAGAAGGGTCAACACTGCAAATATTGACTCTTTGCATAAACTTAATGTAATTGTCAATAAAAGCCTTTGACACTTATGGAATGCTTGTAATTATACTTCAATATACCATAGTAACATCTGACAAAAATATCTAAAAACACTGAAGCAGCAAACTTTGTGAAGACCAATACTTGTGTCATGCTCAAAACTTTTGACCACGACTGTACATACAGTACACTCCCCTCCCCTACGTATTTATTTGGACAGTGAAGGTAAAACTTTTAATTTGGCTCTATACTCCAGCATTTTGGATTTGAAATCAAATGTTAGAATGTCACCTTTTATTTGCGGGTATTTTCATATATATCTGTTTTACCATATAGAAATGAAAGCATGTTAGACTATCTAGTCTCCCCCATTTGAAGGTGTCATAAGTATTTGGACAAATTCACTTAGTGTATTCAATTTAGTCAAAAGTTTAGTATTTGGTCCCATATTCCTAGCACACAATGACTACATCAAGCTTGTGACTCTGAAAACTTGTTTGATGCATTTGCAGTTTGTTTTGGTTGTGGTTTGGATTACAGTGGCTTGCGAAAGTATTCACCCCCCTTGGCATATTTCCTATTTTATTGCCTTACAACCTGGAATTAAAATTGATTTTTGGGGGTTTGTATCATTTGATTTACACAACATGCCTACCACTTTGAAGATGCAAAATATTTTTTATTGTGAAACAAACAAGAAATAAGACAAAAAAACTGAAAACTTGAGCATGCATAACTATTCACCCCCCCAAAGTCAATACTTTGTGGAGCCACCTTTTGCAGCAATTACAGATGCAAGTCTCTTGGGGTATGTCTCTATAAGTTTGGCACATCTAGCCACTGGGATTTTTGCCCATTCTTCAAGGCAAAACTGCTCCAGCTCCTTCAAGTTGGATGGGTTCCGCTGGTGTACAGCAATCTTTAAGTCATACCACAGATTCTCAATTGGATTGAGGTCTGGGCTTTGACTAGGCCATTCCAAGATATTAAATGTTTCCCCTTAAACCACTCAAGTGTTGCTTTAGCAGTATGCTTAGGGTCATTGTCCTGCTGGAAGGTGAACCTCCGTCCCAGTCTCAAATCTCTGGAAGACTGAAACAGGTTTCCCTTAAGAATTGTAGCGCCATCCATCATTCCTTCAATTCTGACCAGTTTCCTAGTCCCTGCCGATGAAAAACATCCCCACAGCATGATGCTGCCACCACCATGCTTCACTGTGGGGATAGTGTTCTCGGGGTGATGAGAGGTGTTGGGTTTGTCTTGATGGCCAAAAAGCTCAATTTTAGTCTAATCTGACTAGAGTACCTTCTTCCATATGTTTGGGGAGTCTCGCACATGCCTTTTGGCGAACACCAAATGTGTTTGCTTATTTTTTTCTTCAAGCAATGGCTTTTTTCTGGCCACTCTTCCATAAAGCCCAGCTCTGTGGAGTGTACGGCTTAAAGTGGTCCTATGGACAGATACTCCAATCTCCGCTGTGGAGCTTTGCAGCTCCTTCAGGGTTATCTTTGGTCTCGTTGTTGCCTCTGATTAATGCCCTCCTTGCCTGGTCCGTGAGTTTTGGTGGGCGGCCCACTCTTGGCAGGTTTGTTGTGGTGCCATATTCTTTCAATATTTTAATAATGGATTGAATGGTGCTCCGTGGGATGTTCAAAGTGTCAGATATTTTTTTATAACCCAACTCTGATCTGTACTTCTTTGTCCCTGACCTGTTTGGAGAGCTCCTTGGTCTTCATGGTGCCGCTTGCTTGGTGGTGCCCCTTGCTTAGTGGTGTAGCTGACTCTGGGGCCTTTCAGAACAGGTGTATATATACTGAGATCATGTGACAGATCATGTGACACTTAGATTGCACACAGGTGGACTTTATTTAACTAATTATGTGACTTCTGAAGGTAATTGGTTGCACCAGATCTTATTTAGGGGCTTCATAGCAAAGGGGGTGAATACATATGCACGCACCACTTTTCCGTTATTTATTTTTTAGAATTTGTTGAAACAAGTTTTCATTACACTTCACCAATTTGGACTTTTGTGTATGTCCATTACATGAAATCCAAATAAAATCCATTTAAATTACAGGTTGTAATGCAACAAAATAGGAAAAATGCCAAGGGGGATGAATACTTTTGATATTTATGCCTCTGTAACTTTCTCACTCATCATTATTCAAGATTAATTCATGATTTTCCGTAATCATGTTAGCATCCACATTAATGTTGAAGTGTTCAGAAACATATTCTATTCTTATTTACAGTAAAAGTGACTCCAAAATGACACAATAAAAATCTAAAGGGATGCTGTCAAAAAGTGATTGAATTCAAACAGATTTACCCTGTGCCCAAAATAGATTAATGGTAAATAATGTATTGTGTCATTTTGGAGTCACTTTTATAATTAATAAGAATATAATATGTTTCTGAACACTTTTACATTCATGTGGATGGGTAAATCCATTTGAATTCTATCACTTTTTGACAGCATCCCTTTTCATTTAAACAAACCTTTCCATACATGTTTGCCCATGGAAGAAGTGGTCAGAAAGTGACTTTTTGGACCTGAATTCCAAGACATTCAGGAGATAAAGGTGCTCAAAGTTTACCCATTTTGCATACCCTACCATACTGTGAGACATCCATGTCTTCGTTACTGGAAAAGATAAACAGTTGAGTTTGATATAATTTAAAATCTTGCAAACAGTATTGTCAAACTATTTTATAATAATACAAAAAATGTTATGACATTTTTTAACCTTTAACATCAATTATAAAAAATAATTCATATTTGCATATGTTGTAGTTTAGACACTACTTTACATAATCTGAGGTGTTTGTGTTGTGGCCGCCATCAGTTGAGACACAACATGCTCTTGAATACAGGGTGGGTGTCATTTCAATAATATAAATAGCATTCATAGAATGGACCTATCCCTTCAGACCACTGCAATTTAGCTGGTACACCATTGACATTTAAATTGAATTGACATTTTAACTTAACGCCGGTCCACCCACTGTCGAATGTCAACCTAAATAGTCATGTCTATTCTATGATCTATATTTCTATGATTTCGATATGTTTCCTGTTGAGGACAGTATCATTTAAAACAACAGGTATTCCCATTCAAGTCAACATTCTCTGATGTGTGGACCTTTGTAGTAATATTTGAAAGTTGAAATTTAAATTTGATTCCACTTTTTAATACATTTATCAGCCAAAACATGACACCCACCTTGTTTTCAAGAGCATGTAGTGACTGAACTGATGGTGGGCACAACACATGATAGATGATGTGAAATAGGGTCTAAGTTACAACATGTGCGAATATGAACAAAATTGGAGTGTAAGCGTTATTACATAATTGACGTTGAATGTTAAAAAACGTCAATTTTTATTTACAAAAATATTTTAAAGAAATTATTAAATAGTTTGACAACCCTGTTTGTAAGCTTTAAATTATATAAATCTCAAACGTTTATATTTTCCAGTGATGAAGACATGGATGTCTCATGGTATGGTGGGGTATGCAAAATGGGTCAAATTTGAGCACCTTAATCTCTTGAATGTTTTGTCACTCAGGTCCGAAAAGTCCCTTTCTGAGCACTTCTACAATGGGCAAATATGTATCAAAGGTTTCGTTCAAATCAAAAGGGGTGCTGTCAAAAAGTGATTGAATTCAAATGGATTTATCCCACAACATAACCTGAAACACAACCAAAACAAACCGCAAATGCATCCAACAAGTTTGTAGAGTCATGAGCTTGATGTTGTCATTTCGTGCTATAAATATGGGACCACATACTAAACTTTGGACTAAATGTAATACACTATAAGTGAATTTGTCCAAATACCTATGACACCTTCAAATGGGGGGACTAGATACATAAAGTGCATTCATTTCTAAATGGTACACCAGATATGTATAATAAAAGATGACATTCTGTACTTTCCCCTCATATAAAACATTTGATCTCAAATCCAAAATGCTGGAGTATAGAGCCACATTTAAAGTTTTAACTTCACTGTCCAAATATATATGTAGGGAAGTGTACATTATAGAGCTGCCATCCTGTGGTTGGACAGTATTACTGGCATTACACAGACTCCTTTACTCTCTTTTTTGTACTTTATTGAGCTGCCATCCGGTGGTTGAACAGTGATATTACAGTTCATTCAAACTATGTTGATATGTACAGGTAACTGCCAGAATAAAGGAAACACCAACATGAAGCGTCTTAATAGGGCGTTGGGTCACCACTAGCCAGATCAGCTTCAAAGCGCCTTGGCATAGATTCTGGAAATCTAGTGGAGGGATGCGGCACCATTCTTCCACAAGAAATTCCATTATTTGGTGTTTTGTTGATGGTGGTGGAAAACGCTGTCTCAGGCGCAACTCCAGAATCTCCCATAAGTGTTCAATTGGGTTGAGATCTGGTGACTGAGACGGCCATGGGATATGGTTTACATCATTTTCATGCTGATCAAACTTTTCAGTGACCACTCGTGCCCTGTGGATGGGGTCATTGTCATCCTATGAGGGCATAGCAATGGTAGCCAAAATATTGAGCAACTGGGCCTGCCCAGCATTTTTATACATGACCCTAAGCATGATGGGATGTTAATTAATTGCTTAGGAATTGCTCAGGAACCAAACCTGTGTGGAAGCACCTGTTTTCAATATACTTTATATCCCTTGTTTACTCAATAGTTTCCTTTATTTTGGCAGTTACGGTTGGTTGAAGGAAAGCCATTTTTTCTGTCTGACCAAAGTGAAACTTGAGAAATTGCCTCTCTGTATGCGTTTACCCAATCATAACTGCAAAACTATTTTGTAACTACATTTGGTAACTACATTGGAGTGTAATGCTTTGTGAAATAAGGAGTACATGCACTAATAGCATGGTGGAGGCTCACCTCAGGGTAGGACCACTCGGGGGAGTAGTCAGTGACCATGAAAAGTCTCCCTGTGGCCTGCAACATCCCCAGGGCCCCGTGGGCCACGGCTGCAGACACTACCTCCGCCACATCCATGTATGCCAGAGATCCTGGCTCTGTCCCTGCACCCCCAGCCCCAGCACCAAGAGACTGAGGGCTGCAGCAGGGCTGGAGACAGAGCTCTGAGGGGCTATATCCTGCCCCCCGGGCCCCTCCTACCCCTCCGTCCTCCTGGCCCTGCTGGGGAGCTCCGCTAGGCGTGGGCTGACCGTCTGAGCCGTGGTTGGCCACCAGCTGGTGGTTGTAAAGAGCTCCTCCGGCCGCCATGTTGGTTCCACTACCGTCCACAGAGATGAAGTCATTGATGAGATCAGAGAACTGGTTTCCAAAGGAGATGTCGAAGTGGTCCAGGCTGATCTCCATGCCTCCCCCTCCCCCTCCCCCGTTGGAGGCCGCTCCGCCCAGGCCCTGGTGGGGCCCCACGGTGTTGTAGAGGCCCTGGACCATCCCAGCCCCCTGGAGGAGGGGCTGCAACTGCTGCTGCTGCTGCTGCTGTGAGCGGTTGCTGCCGTCGTTGTTGATGCTATTTCCGTTATGCATGGTCACTCCTTCCCCTCCTCCTCCGCCTCCCTGACCTCCTCCCCCATTGGCCTGCTGCAGGTAGTGCTCTGTCCCTCCTCCCTCTGGGTTGCCTCCTCCACAGGCCTGGAGGTGATCCCCAGGCTTCAGTAGACCCTCTCCGTTCTCTGTTCCCCCTGCCTGGCCTGAGCCCACGCTGCCTGGCTGCTCCAGACCCACCACCTCCTCATGTTCTGGCCCCAGCCCAGGGAAGCCCCCCTGGTACTGCAGAAGCTGGAGAGATCCAGGCCCCTGCCCTGGCCCCTCGGTGGGGGAGCCCCCGTTGCAGTTGGCCCTGTGGTGGCTCTGGTGGTGGTGGTGGAGGTGGCCGTTGATGCCAGGGGAGTCCGTCTTGACCACCTGCAGGCCCATGTAGGCTGTGGAGTCGTGGGAGTTGTGCTCCATCAGGTGAGTCTTCTGTCCCATGGAGGACCTGCCCTGCTGGGCCTGGCCGGGCTGCTGGGTGTCCTGGAGGAAGAAGCTGGGCGAGTGGCTCTGGTGGGAGAGGTGGGGGCTGTTCATAGCCTGGCCGTAGCCCACTGACCCAGCCCCGGATGAGTATTCCTGCTTGGCATCGATGGCGCTGAAGTCCATCTGTTCCAGGGTGGTGCTGGGGCTCAGACCTCCTCCAGAGGGCAGCAGAGAGCCAGCCGGGGTCAGGCCGAGGGAGCCCTGTGCTGAACCAGCCCCAGAGGAACCAGACACACCTCCTCCACAGCTCACCACCGCCCCCACCTGGTAGCCCTGCTCTGTGGCCAGCTGCTGCTCAAAGGACATGTCCTCCGTCTTGATGTTCTTCACCAGAGCAGAGTTGAAGCTGTATCCAGAGTCTGACATGGAGGGAGAGCGCTGCATGCTGCCGTTGGTGCCGTTGGAGGAAGAGGAGGAAGACGAGGAGCTGCCGCTCCCCTTCAGCCTGCTGCCCCCGTAGGTCTGGCCCTGCTTGGGGTTGTTGAGGAAGCAGTCAGGGTCAAAGTTCATGGTGGTCTCAGGTATCTTCATGCCTCCGGCATCCAGGCTACTGGACAGGACCAGCTCCTCAGACACCCCGGCTGCAGACAGCATGGATAGCCCATCTGCTCCCCCCGCCCCCCCGGGACCCTCCCCAGCCCCTCCGCCGGGGAAGGCAAACTTGTGGTTGTCTGCCACAACACTGGACAACACCAGGCCCTGGGAAGCTGCGTCGGGGCCCATGAGGTGGGCGTTGGGGCCCCCATTGGGGGACATGCTGTAGACAGGGTCCCCGGTCACCTCAGACATGAATACGCTCTGGGAGAGGCTGGACATGACGGAAGCCACGTGGCCCATCCCCGTCACCACGGGACTGTCAGCCATGTCTGGGTCGCTGTTCAGACCGCTGCTGATGGACACGGGGGAGTTCTGGGTGGTGTCAGGGACCTCCACCTGGTTGGTGGAGGACACCTCCGTGCTGTTCTGGTGCAGGAGAACAGGCTTGGGGATCTTGCCATTGCGTTTCTCCCTGGCGCTGCCCCCTCCCCCTCCGGAGCTTTTCCCTCCCCCTCCATGGCTGCTGTGCTCGGTCTTGCCCTCAGACACATCGTTGTTCTGGACCTCAGAGTGACCGCTGCTGTAGCCTCCACGGGGGTCCACCTTGGGGGAGATGATGCGGTGTTTGGCGCTGTTGCACTTGTGGTGCACACTGCTCCCTGCACCTGTTAGAGGGAGAAAAGAGAGGTTACTGAGAGATAGCTCTAGATACAGTAGAAGTCATCAGTCATCTAGAAAGAATGTAGAATAGTACAGTGAATCTCTGTGACACAAGCAACGCGCATGCCCCGCCCACCTGAGGATCTCACTTAAACCTCACTGTATTGATTACTTTCATTTTACTACTGCGACTCTTTCATACACCTCCTTGTGCTGTCGTTTTTTCCCGTTAACGTTACGACCACAGAATTTTAAAAAATCCCCTGTCAAACCACTCCGGTATTGGCTGAAATGGGCTCAATGGAATACATAGTCTTTCCGTTTAATCTATAAGAATGATAAAGCTTTGTCTGGGATTTAATGAACTGCCTCAAAACTTACTTAGAAGAAAGATAACTTTATTTGTGGAATTCTTTGTGGAATTAAAAAAGTTATAATTTAATACAGTTGAAATATTTACAAATTACAATGAACAAAAATATAAACGCAACATGTAAATGGTCAGGCAGACAGAGTGTATGGCGTCGTGTAGGCGAGTGGTTTGCTGATGTCAACGTTGTGAACAGAGTGCCCCATGGTGACAGTGGGGTTATGGTATGGGCAGGTATAAGCAACGGACAATGAACACAATTGCATTTTATCGATGGCAATTTGAATGCACAGAGATACCGTGACGAGATCCTGAGGTCCATTGTCGTGACATTCATCCGCCGCCATCACCTCGTGTTTCAGCATGATAATGCACAGCCCATTGTCACAATTCCTGGATGCTGAAAATGTCCCAGTTCTTCCATGGCCTGCATACTCAGCAGATATGTCACCCATTGAGCATGTTTGGGATGCTCTGGATCGACATGTACAACAGCATATTCCAGTTCCTGCCAATATCCAGCAACTTCGCACAGCCATTGTAGAGGAATGGGACAACATTCCACAGGCCACAATCAACAAAGCCTGATCAACTCTATGCAAAGGAGATGTGTCACGTTGCATGAGGCAAATGGTGGTCACACCAGATACTGACTGGTTTTCTGATCCATGCCCCTACCTTAAGGTATCTGTGACCAACAGATGCATATCTGTATTCCCAGTCATGTGAAATCCATAGATTAGGGCCTAATTTATTTATTTAAATTGAATGATTTCCTTATACAGTACCAATCAAACGTTAGAACACACCAACTCATTCCAGGGTTTTTCTTTATTTTGACTATTTTCTACATTGTAGAATAATAGTGAAGACATCAAAACTGTGAAATGACACATATGGAATATTGTAGTAACCAAAAAAGTGTTAAACAAATCAAAATATATTTTATATTTGAGATGCTTCAAAGTAGCCATCCTTTGCCTTGATGACAGCTTTGCACACTTGGCATTCTCTCAACCAGCTTCATAAGTTAGTCACCTGGAATTTCATTAACAAGTGTGCCTTGTTAAAAGTTAATTTGTGGAATTTCTTTCCTTCCTAATGCGTTTGAGCCAATCAGTTGTGTTGTGACAAGGTAGGGGTGGTATACAGAAGATAGCCCTATTTGGTAAAAGACCAAGTCTATATTATGGCAAGAACAGCTCAAATAAGCAAAGAGAAATGACAGTCCATCATTACTTTAAGACATGAAGGTCAGTCAAGCCGGAAAATGTCAAGTACTTTGAAAGTGCAGTTGCAAAAACCATCAAGCGCTATGAAGAAACTGGCTCTCATGAGGGCTGCCACATGAAAGGAAGACCCAGAGTTACCTCTGCTGCAGAGGATAAGTTGATTAGAGTTAACTGCACCTCAGATTGCAGCCCAAATAAATGCTTCATAGAGTTCAAGTAGCAGACACATCTCAACATCAACTGTTCAGAGGAAACTGCGTGAATCAGGCCTTCATGGTCGAATTGCTGCAAACAAACCACTACTAAAGGACACCAGTAAGAAAAAGAAACATGAGCAATGGACATTAGACTAGTGGAAATCTGTCCTTTGGTCTGATGAGTCCAAATTTGAGATTTTTGGTTCCAACCGCCGTGTCTTTGTGAGACGCAGAGTATGTGAATGGATGATCTCCGCATTTATGCATGGAGCAGGAGGTGTGATGGTGTGGCGGTGCTTTGCTGGTCACACTGTCAGGGATTTATTTAGAATTCAAGGCATACTTAACCAGCATGGCTACCACAGCATTCTGCAGCGATACGCCATCCCATCTGGTTTGCGCTTAGTGGGACTATCATTTGTTTTTCAACAGGACAATGACCCAACACACCTCCAGAATGTGTAAGGGCTATTTGACCAAGAAGGAGAGTGATGGAGTGCTGCATCAGATGACCTGGCCTCCACAATCACCTGACCTCAACCCAATTGAGATGGTTTGGGATGAGTGGGACCGCAGAGTGAAGGAAAAGCAGCCAACAAGTGCTCAGCATGTGGGAACTCCTTCAAGACTGTTGGAAAAGCATTCCAGGTGAAGCTGGTTGAGAGAATGCCAAGAGTGTGCAAAGCTGTCATCAAGGCAAAGGGTGGCTACTTTGAAGAATCTCAAATATAAAATATATTTTGATTTGTTTAACACCCAAATACAGGTGTGCCAAGATTGTAGCGTCTCGTGCCAAGATTCGATGCTGTAATCGCTGCCAAAGGTGCTTCAATAAAGTACTGAGTAAAGGGTCTGAATACATTTGTAAATGTGATATTTCAGTTTTACATTTAATAAATCAGCAAAAGATTCTAACGTTTTTGCTTCGTCATTATGTGGTATTGTGTGTAGATTGATGAGGGAAAAAAAACAATTTAATCAATTTTGGAATAAGGCTGTAACGTAACAAAATGTGGAAAAAATCAAGGGGTCTGAATACTTTCCGAAGGCACTTTGCATAAGTATTCAGACCATTTACTCAGTACTTTGTTGAAGCACCTTTGGCAGTGATTACAGCCTTGAGTCTTCTTGGGTATGACGCTACAAGCTTGGCACACCTGTATTTGGGGAGTTTCTCCCATTCTTCTCTGCAGATCTTCTCAAGCGCTGTCAGGTTGGATGGGGAGCGTCGCTGCACAGCTATTTTCAGGTCTCTCCAGAGATGTTCGATCAGGTTCAAGTCCGGGCTCTTGCTGGGCCACTCAAGGACATTCAGAGACTTGTCCCGAAGCCACCCCTGTGTTGTCTTGGCTGTGTGTTTAGGGTCGTTGTCCTGTTGGAAGGTGAACCTTCGCCCCAGTCTGAGCTCCTGAGAGCACTGGATCAGGTTTTCATCAAGGATCTTTTTGTACTTTGCTCCGTTCATCTTTGCCTCGATCCTGACTAGTCTCCCAGTCCCTGCCGCTTAAAAACATCCCCACAGCATGATGCTGTCACCACCATGCTTCACCGTAGGGATGGTGCCAGGTTTCCTCCAGACGTGACGCTTGGCATTCAGACCAAAGAGTTCAATCTTGGTTTCATCAGACCAGAGAATCTTGTTTCTCATGGTCTGAGAGTCCTTTAGGTGCCTTTTGCCAAACTCCAAGTTGGCTGTCATGTGCCTTTTACTGAGGAGTGGCTTCCGTCTGGCCACTCTACCATAAAGGCCTGATTGGTGGAGTGCTGCAGAGATGATTGTCCTTCTGAAAGTTTCTCCCATCTCCATAGAGGAACTCTGGAGCTCTGTCAGAGTGACCATCGTGTTCCTGGTCACCTCCATGACCAAGACCCTTCTCCCCCGATTGCTCAGTTTGGCCGGGCGGCCAGCTCTAGGAAGAGTCTTGGTGGTTCCAAACTTCTTCCATTTAAGAATGATGGAGGCCACTGTGTTCTTGGGGACCTTCAATGCTGCAGAAATGTTTTGGTACACTTCCCCAGATCTGTGCCTCGACACAATCCTGTCTCGGAGCTCTATGGATAATTCCTTCGACCTCATGGCTTGGTTTTTGCTATGACATGCACTGTCAACTGTGGGATCTTATATAGACAGGTGTGTGCCTTTCCAAATCAATTTAATTTAAATAATATAATAATATGCCATTTAGCAGACGCTTTTATCCAAAGCGACTTACAGTCGTGCGTGCATACATTTTTGTGTATGGGTGGTCCCGGGGATCGAACCCACTACCTTAGCGTTACAAGCGCCGTGCTCTACCAGCTGAGCTACAGAGGACCATATATTGGGACCAATTTACCACAGGTGGACTCCAATCAAGTTGTAGAAACATCTCAAGGATGATCAATGTAAACAGGATGCACCTGGGCTCAATTTTGAGTCTCATAGCACAGGGTCTGAATACTTATGTAAATAAGGTATTTCTGTTTTTTATTTTTAATAAAATTGCTAAAAACCTGATTGATGAGGGAAAATGTAATTTAATCAATTTTAGAATAAGGCTGTAACATAACAAAATGTGGAAAAAGTCAAGGGGTCTGAATGCTTTCCGAATGAGTGCTTTCTAAGAAAAAAAATGAAAATCTACAATAAATGAATACCTGAATTCCCACCAAAATCCCTGAACGTCATTCATTATTTGTCCGTGCCAGTTAACATTTTTATGTGCTATATTTCAGTCAATATCTGATGGATTACTATTTTAATGGAGTATCTTCATCCATTCTCCAACTGTTGCATTTATTAGAATTGTTTTAAAAACCTTTTTACAATTTCAGTGATCATTGCTAGTGACACTGTAATTCACAAACTAAATCTAATGGAAGGTTGTGAACGACTTGTTACAACAGCTCAGCAGAATGCAGACAATAAACAATAAGAAAACTGCCTGTGCTTTTGTACCTAAACAAATCACCTGAACAGAACATCATTATCCAAGTAATTGTAATTGAAGCAATTGTTTGATTGATTGGTGTGACTTTTGATACTATTTGAACTTTTATCAATAAAACACAAGAGAGCCATGACCCTGACACTTTCCACATTCACTCTGAGCATAATATATGACCTCTACCTCTTCTCCTTCTCCCAATTGTTTTACATTTTAGTCATTTACCAGATGCTCTTATCCAGAGCGACTTACATTGATGCATTCCTCTTAAGATAGCTAGGTGAGACAACAACACATCTAAATCGTAGCAAGTACATTTTCCCTCAACCAAGTAGTTATCAGCAAAGTCAGTGCTAGGACTAGTCCTTTGACTACACCTACACCATCTCCCCTTTCTCTCTGCCCCCTGCCCCCTGCCCCCTATCTACCTCTATCCCCTCGCCCTTACCCAGGGTGCCTGTGCAGAGGCAGTTGTGGGTCCGGGGAGGTGGCTTGGTTTGGTGGCTGTCCAGAATCTGCTGCACCAGCTGCTCCACTGAGAAGCCAGAGCTGCTGTTCCCGTTGCTGCAAGTCCACTTGATGCCATGAACTGCCGGGAGAGAGGAGACAGAGATGTCAACCAGTCCAGACCAACAGACCACCACCACCCACACCCACACTACTGCAGGCTGCACCCCTATAACCCTGTGACCCACCCGCATCTCTACACCCTAAACCCCACCTAATAGTCTGCTTATGGATAGTTTAGACAGCACTATTTGCATTAAGCTCTATTTGGACAGCAGCACATCTCTCACGTCTCCTCTCTTTCCCCACACTGCCTAACATACCTACTGTGCTGTGCACTACTTGATGAAAGTAGCCAACCACACACAGGTCTGTTAGCACACACAGGCATGTTGGCTCCCTGCCTTGTTTCATTGTATTTGCCTATGGCTGCCTGTACCTCTGCTGGGGCTGTGATGTGGAAAACCACTGGAGAGGAACACAGTCTAGCTGCTAGATGAAGGAGAAGAGAGCCATTCTCCTGCATAACTGCATTCCTGCCTGGCTGGAATGCTCTGGTCACACATGGCTAGCACCTCCTAATACCTTTTACTGCTTTCCTGGCTCTGGCTTAGCAGCCAGGCTCCACTTCTCATCAGGGTGATAGTGATGCTGCTAACACAGGCAGCAGGCCTATCATATCACACGTCATTGCTGCTATTGCTGCTGTTGCAGCACCATGTTCTCAACCGGAAAACAACAAATATGGTAATATTTCCGAAGTGGAGCATATTTCAAATATCAAACAAAATCAAGACAGCTCTAATATGGGTTCCCACATCTCACTACCTCCCTCAGTTAAATAGGCAGAAGAAAGGGAGAGAGAGGAGAGAGTAAATGTGTGTGTGTGTGTGTCTGTGTGCGTTAGAGAGAGAGACAGAGAGAGCGAGAGAGAGAGAGAGAGAGCGAGAGAGAGAGAGAGAGAGAGAGAGAGAGAGAGAGAGCCTGTGCATGTGAGAAATAAAGGGAAAGAGACAGGGCGAAATAAGAACGCTGCTCCAGACAGAGACAGAGACAGGGAAAAGGCTAATCAGGGTGCTTTCACTTCAATGCTGGCGGATCACTAGCTGATTACCAGAAAATCACCAGTAGATGCCAGCAGAGCAGTAGTCATGCATACGGTCAGATTCAGCAGGCGGCATGCAGCCCTCTGCTCCACTGAACACTACACTACTGAACACTACAGCCGGCCAGGGCCAAGGAAATACAGAAACATACCTGCCACAACACATCAGACTAACAATGCCGTGATAGCAACAACAAATTACTCTGGCTACATGAGCTCAGATTAAGAGTCCCAAAGACATTGCTTGAAATATGCATAACAGTAATGAAGGCACAGCTTAAAAAATATATAATTTATGTATTCATGTACGTACTGTATATCTGTTCTTTAACTCTTTCTCTGTGAATTAGATATATATTCAAATGAGCTGTCTGACTTAATAACTGTTTGGCATCAGTAACACATCAGAGATGTATAGTTGTGATGATGTAGGCATTGGTGACACGGGGATAAGTTGTTGTTGACACGGGGATAAGTTGTTGTTGACACGGGAATTCGTTTTTGGTGTCCTGACGCGGGTCCCCCTTCGTGACAAAGCCAGAGCAGAGCTACAGTAGAGAGCTGACTCAGAGCTTTGACAGACCTCAGAGTGTCAGCGCAACGCTACCGCTTACATCCACCATGTATCCCCACTCCCGCTAGTCCAAACAATCCTGCAGCTGCCTCACTATGGCACTGATTGATGCCCCGTGCCACTGCCAGGGTTTGTCATAGGTCACTAAAGGCTCTCCTGCATCACTACCACCACCACAACCAGCTCATTCCTGTGACATCATTAGATTCGGCCATGCATGTTAGGGATGTTGGCTGATGAGCATTACCTTTCTTCAGGATACACAGATCACATCATATTGCCTTTTGCACCACTGGGCACTGACTGGGGTAAGGGTGCCGTGCCCTGCTAGTCTGGCCTAACCCTGGATGGGTGGTTTGGAGGGATGAAGGGAGGGAAAGAAGGAGAGAGAGGGAGGGATGGATGGAGGGAGGCTGGTGGTGTGTTTGTCTGAGCTCCTGACGCATTCATGCGCTATCAGCAGGTTTGGGGCATGGCTGACTCCATGGCTGGGGATAGGGCAAGGGTTAGAGCATCACTGGGCCGGGCTACTGCCTGTTCACTACATTAGAGGAGGGGAGTGAGTCAAGTTGCCTGGCTGGTCTGCTGCCTTCTCATCGGTCGATCTGCCCTCTCATAGTATGACTGAGCAGAGAAACCAGTCTCTGACCTCCAGTCCAACCTTCAACCCTCATCTGTGGATCTCTCCCCGAGCCTCAGCAATATCCCCTAGGGCGGGGGGAAGGAACAGGTCAGACAAGGCCATGGTGAGTATCTGTGTGGATGTCCTGTACTTGTGTATTTGAAATGTGTAGTTGTATTTGTGTATGTGTATGTACAGTAGTTGTGTGTGGTTATGTCTGCTATGGTAAGTATGTTTTGGTGTGGAGCAAAACACAAACAGCTTTACGAGGCTCTAGTGAACCATATCAACTGAATTCTTGCTTTGTTTTTGTGTCATTAGACATGTTAAAGGCTTTGTGCAGTGGGACATCATGTGAGTATAAAACAAGAGGGAAAGAAGACAATTATATATTGCAGAAGTTCAACTCTAGAAAGAGAAATTGGCATGCTCAGTTCAAATGTTTGTAGTATTGGCATGCTCAGTTCAAATGTTTGTAGTAAAACAATTCTTTGGGTGCCGGGTTTAAAAGGCATATACTGGAATAAAGGAAAAACCTGCACTAACTGAAATATTCTTTGCGTTTTAATGTCTTATTTTTTAGCAGCAGAGGTCAAAACAAATGGACGCATTTCGGCAGAAGCCTTCGTCATCCAGAACCTTCGGCAGCCAGAACCTTCGTCAGCCAGAACAACAGACATCCACCCATATTTATAAACTCAGCAAAAAAAGAAACGTCCTCTCACTGTCAACTGCGTTTATTTTCAGCAAACTTAACATGTGTAAATATTTGTATGAACATAACAAGATTCAACAACTGAGACATAAACTGAACAAGTTCCACAGACATGTGACTAACAGAAATTGAATAATGTGTCCCTGAACAAAGGGGGGGTCAAAATCTAAAGTAACATTCAGTATCTGGTGTGGCCACCAGCTGCATTAAGTACTGCAGTGCATCCTCCTCATGGACTGCACCAGATTTGCCAGTTCTTGCTGTGAGATGTTACCCCACTCTTCCACCAAGGCACCTGCAAGTTCCCGGATATTTCTGGGGGGAATGGCCCTAGCCCTCACCCTCAGATCCAACAGGTCCCAGATGTGCTCAATGGGATTGAGATCCGGGCTCTTCGCTAGCCATGGCAGAACACTGACATTCCTGTCTTGTTCATGCACAGAACGAGCAGTATGGCTGGTGGAATTGTCATGCTGGAGGGTCATGTCAGGATGAGCCTGCAGGAAGGGTACCACATGAGGGAGGAGGATATCTTCCCTGTAATGCACAGCATTGAGATTGCCTGCAATGACAACAAGCTCAGTCCGATGATGCTGTGACACAACGCCCCAGACCATGACGGACCCTCCACCTCCAAATCGATCCCGCTCCAGAGTACAGACCTCGGTGTAACGCTCATTTCTTCGACGATAAACGCGAATCCGACCATACACCCCTGGTGAGACAAAACCGCGACTCGTCAGTGAAGAGCACTTTTTGCCAGTCCTGTCTGGTCCTGCGACAGTGGGTTTGTGCCCATAGGCGACGTTGTTGCCGGTGATGTCTGTTGAGGACCTGCCTTACAACAGGCCTACAAGCCCTCAGTCCAGCCTCTCTCAGCCTATTGCGGACAGTCTGAGCGTAACTCGGCAGTTGTTGTTGCCATCCTGTACCTGTCCCGCAGGTGTGATGTTTGGATGTACCGATCCTGTGCAGGTGTTGTTACACGTGGTCTGCCACTTCGAGGACGATCAGCTGTCCGTCCTGTCTCCCTGTAGCGCTGTCTTAGGTGTCACAGTACGGACATTGCAATTTCTTGCCCTAGCCACATCTGCAGTCCTCATTCATACATTACAGTCATTTAGCAGACGCTCTTATCCAGAGCGACTTACAGGAGCAATTCAAGTTAAGTGCCTTGCTCAAGGGCACATCGACAGATTTTTCACCTAGTCGGCTCGGGGATTAGAACCAGCGACCTTTCGGTTACTGGCACAACGCTCTTAACCACTAAGCTACCTGCCGCTACATATCTTTTCTACGGTTTTCCACAAGAACATCAAAATAAAATAATAATAAACAAAGAAAAGCGCACCTGTTGCCCACAGGAATCAACCTAAGAGGACTTCTTAATTAAGGCCCTTTAGGGCTCTCTGTTTGAAAAGTATGGATATAATATGCATCTCTGTAACAGCAAGTTCTCTATCAAATTCTATTCTCCCAAGAAAATAACTATTTTATATTTACTGTGCCTTCGGAAAGCACTCAGACCCCCTTGACTTTTTTCACATTTTGTTACGTTACAGCCTTATTCTAAAATGGATTAAATTGGTTTTTTCCCCTCATCAATCTACACACAATACCCCATAATGACATAAGAAAATGTTATGAAAAATTAAAAAAACGTAAATATGACATTTACATAAGTATTCAGACCCTTTACTCAGTAATTTGTTGAAGCCCCTTTGGCAGCGATTACAGACTCGATTCTTCTTGGGTATGAAGCTAGAAGCTTGGCATACCAGTATTTGGGGAGTTTCTCCCATTCTTCTCTGCAGATCCTCTCAAGCTCTGTCAGGTTGGATGGGGAGCGTCGCTGCACAGCTATTTTCAGCTCTCTCTAGAGATGTTTGATCGGGTTCAAGTCCGGGCTCTGGCTGGGCCACTCAAGGACATTCTTAGACTTGTCCCGTGGCCACTCCTGCGTTGCCTTGGCTGTGTGCTTAGGGTTGTTGTCCTGTTGGAAGGTGAACCTTCCAGTCTGAGGTCCTGAGTGCTCTGGAGCAGGTTTTCATCAAGGATTTCTCTGTCCTTTCCTCCGTTCATCTTTCCCTCGATCCTGACTAGTCTCCCAGTCCCTGCCGCTGAAAAACATCCCCACAGCATGATGCTGCCACCACCATGCTTCACCGTAGGGATGGTGCCAGGTTTCCTCCAGACGTGACGCTTAGCATTCAGGCCAAAGAGTTCAATCTTGGTTCCATCAGACCTTTAGGTGCCTTTTGGCAAACTCCAAGCGGGCTGTCATGTGCTTTTTACTGAGGAGGGGCTTCCGTCTGGCCACTCTACCATAAAGGCCTGATTGGTGGAGTGCTGCAGAGATGGTTGTCCTTCTGGAAGGTTCTCCTATCTCCACAGAGGAACTCTGGAGCTCTGTTAGAGTGACCATCGGGTTCTTGGTCACCTCCCTGACCAAGGCCCTTCTCCCCCGATTGCTCAGTTTGGCCGGGCAGCCAGCTCTAGGCAGAGTCTTGGTGGTTCCAAACTTCTTCCATTTAAGAATGATGGAGGCGACTGTGTTCTTGGGGACCTTCAATGCTGCAGAAATGTTTTGGTACCCTTCCCCAGATCTGTGCCTTGACACAATCCTGTCTCGGAGGTCTACAGACAATTCCTTCGACCTCATGGCTTGTTTTTTTCTCTGACATGCACTGTCAACTGTGGGACCTTATATAGACAGGTGTGTGCCTTTCCAAATCATGTCCAATCAATTGAATTTGCCAAGAGTGTGCAAAGCTGTCATCAAAGAAAGGGTGGCTATTTGAAGAATTTGTTGAACACTTTTTTGGTTACTACATGATTCCATATGTGTTATTTCATAGTTTTGATGTCTTCACTATTATTCTACAATGTAGAAAATAGTAAAAATAAAGAAAAACCCTTGAATGAGCAGGTGTTCTAAAAGTTTTGACCGGTAGTGTATAAATTTGCCAAAATGTCTAATAACCTGTTTTCACTTTGTCATTGATGAGGATTTTTTGTATTTAATCCAAGTTAGAATAAGGCTGTAACGTAACAAAATGTGGAAAAAGTCAAGGAGTTTGAGTACTTTCTGAATGCACTATTTATGTTGAGTCTGTGCACTAAGATCAAATGAATAGTTGAACTCTCCCAGACACAGTCTATATGTATGAACGTTTCATGCACTACAGAGCCTAAAGCCAACATGCATATCACATGGTACCATGATACATGGCTTAATATCAAACGTACATTAAAGTTTCCCACAGTGAACTCACTCCCACAGTACATGGTGGTTAAACTGAAGGTTTGTGACTAAGATAGGGGACCTGGGAAATGCATCCAGCCTCTTCCTCTCTATAGGTCTACTATACACCTCTGGGGAGTGGCATTAGAAGTCTCCTTTATACCCATGAGAGATCCATAGTGTTACACTACACACATAACTCCCTCTCTCAAGTGTACAGTAACGAAAGCCCACGTACATCTGCTGATGAAGCATAGCTGCTTGTGTAAGATATGGGTCACTCTGGGCAGCATGTACAGTTTGTAAAGGCCTACTGTATTATCCACAGCTGAATAATGCATCTATATAATATAAGGCTGCTGTGCACTTCACCTGCACCCCTCCATGACCCTATGATCAAGGAGCGAGGCTATTCTGTCAACAAACCACTAGGTGGCAGTGTTGCTCTACCATAAACGGAATGTTAATATCCTGGTTGTTGAAAACCTAGAAAAGTCTAAGCTGTTGGGTGGGGGGGTACTAAGCTAACATATTAAATTGTTTTAAGATGGTCATACCATGAATGATTTAGCTATTTGATAATGAATTTTACGACCCCTTTAGGTATCAAAAAAATATACTGTATTTAAAAATTATTAGACAAAATATGGAATTTGGGCTTTACTACTATAGCCCACAGAAACGGATTGAATAACACATTCACAAATGGCAAAAAAGTCAGTCAGAAAATTCATCATAATGTTTTGAAGTGTTTGTCCTTTATCTAGGAGATATAAGAAAGCTCAGGAAATATATACAGTATATACAGTGGGGAGAACAAGTATTTGATTCACTGCCGATTTTGCAGGTTTTCCTACTTACAAAGCATGTAGAGGTCTGTAATTTTTATCATAGGTACACTTCAACTGTGAGAGACGGAATCTAAAATCCAGAAAATCACATTGTATGATTTTTAAGTTATTAATTAGCATTTTATTGCATGACATAAGTATTTGATACATCAGAAAAGCAGATCTTAATATTTGGTACAGAAACCTTTGTTTGCAATTACAGAGATCATACGTTTCCTGTAGGTCTTGACCAGGTTTGCACACACTGCAGCAGGGATTTTGGCCCACTCCTCCATACAGACCTTCTCCAGATCCTTCAGGTTTCGGGGCTGTCGCTGGGCAATACAGACTTTCAGCTCCCTCCAAAGATTTTCTATTGGGTTCAGGTCTGGAGACTGGCTAGGCCACTCCAGGACCTTGAGATGCTTCTTACGGAGCCACTCCTTAGTTGCCCTGGCTGTGTGTTTCGGGTCGTTGTCATGCTGGAAGACCCAGCCACGACCCATCTTCAATGCTCTTACTGAGGGAAGGAGGTTGTTGGCCAAGATCTCGCGATACATGGCCCCATCCATCCTCCCCTCAATATGGTGCAGTCGTCCTGTCCCCTTTGCAGAAAAGCATCCCCAAAGAATGATGTTTCCACCTCCATGCTTCACGGTTGGGATGGTGTTCTTGGGGTTGTACTCATCCTACTTCTTCCTCCAAACACAGCGAGTGGAGTTTAGACCAAAAAGCTCTATTTTTGTCTCATTAGACCACATGACCTTCTCCCATTCCTCCTCTGGATCATCCAGATGGTCATTGGCAAACTTCAGACGGGCCTGGACATGCGCTGGCTTGAGCAGGGGGACCTTGCGTGCGCTGCAGGATTTTAATCCATGACGGCGTAGTGTGTTACTAATGGTTTTCTTTGAGACTGTGGTCCCAGCTCTCTTCAGGTCATTGACCAGGTCCTGCCGTGTAGTTCTGGGCTGATCCCTCACCTTCCTCATGATCATTGATGCCCCACGAGGTGAGATCTTGCATGGAGCCCCAGACCGAGGGTGATTGACCGTCATTTTTCCCCTAACCCATCTGTCTATCTCCTCATTTGAATTCCATGCTGTCACAGTCACTAGCCCATTTAAGCTTAATATCCTTGTCATCTATCGCCCTCCAGGTTCCCTTGGAGAGTTCATCAATGAGCTTGACGCCTTGATAAGTTCCTTCCCTGAGGATGGCTCACCCCTCACAGTTTTGGGGGATTTCAACCTCCCTATGTCCACATTTGACTCATTTCTCTCTGCCTCCTTCTTTCCACTCCTCTCCTCTTTTGACCTCACCCTCTCACCGTCCCCCCCTACTCACAAGGCAGGCAATACGCTTGACCTCATCTTCACTAGATGCTGCTCCTCTACTAATCTCACTGCAACTCCCCTCCATGTCTCCGACCACTACTTTGTTTCCTTTTCTCTCTCACTCTCCTCCCACACTACTCACTCTGCCCCTACACAGATGGTAATGCGCCGCCGCAACCTTCGCTCTCTCTCTCCCACTACTCTCTCCTCTTCCATCCTATCATCTCTTCCCTCTGCTCAATCCTTCTCCCTCCAATCTCCTGATTCTGCCTCCTCAACCCTCCTCTCCTCCCTTTCTGCATCCTTTGACTCTCTGTGTCCCCTATCCTCCCGGCCGGCTCGGTCCTCCCCTCCAGCTCCGTGGCTTGATGACTCATTGCGAGCTCACAGAACAGAGCTCCGGGCAGCGGAGCGGAAATGGAAGAAAACTAAACTCCCTGCCGACCTGGCATCTTTTCACTCCCTCCTCTCTACATTTTCTTCATCTGTTTCTGCTGCTAAGGCCACCTTCTACCACTCTAAATTCCAAGCATCTGCCTCTAACCCTAGGAAGCTCTTTGCCACATTTTCCTCCCTCCTGAATCCTCCTCTCTTGCTATCTCTCTCAGAATGACCTTCTTGATCCAAACCAATCAGGTTTCAGGACTGGTCATTCAACTGAGACTGCTCTTCTCTGTGTCACGGAGACTCTCCGCACTGCTAAAGCTAACTCTCTCTCCTCTGCTCTTGTCCTTCTAGACCTGTCTGCTGCCTTTGATACTGTGAACCATCAGATCCTCCTCTCCACCCTCTCCGAGCTGGGCATCTCCGGCGCGGCTCACTCCTGGATTGCGTCCTACCTGACCGGTCGCTCCTACCAAGTGGCGTGGCGGGAAGCTGTCTCCGCACCACGTGCTCTCACCACTGGTGTCCCCCAGGGCTCGGTTCTAGGCCCTCTCCTTTTCTCCCTATACACCAAGTCACTTGGCTCTGTCATATCCTCACATGGCCTTTCCTATCATTGCTACGCTGACGATACACAACTAATCTTCTCCTTTCCCCCTTCTGATAACCAGGTGGCGAATCGCATCTCTGCATGTCTGGCAGACATATCAGTATGGATGACGGATCACCACCTCAAGCTGAACCCTGGCAAGACGGAGCTGCTCTTCCTCCCGGGGAAGGACTGCCCGTTCCATGATCTCGCCATCACGGTTGACAACTCCGCTGTGTCCTCCTCCCAGAGTGCGAAGAGCCTAGGCGTGACCCTGGACAACACCCTGTCGTTCTCCGCCAACATCAAGGCGGTGACCCGCTCCTGCAGGTTCATGCTCTACAAACATTCGGAGAGTGCGACCCTGCCTTACACAGGAAGCGGCGCAGGTCCTGGTCCAGGCACTTGTCATCTCCCGTCTGGACTACTGCAACTCGCTGTTGGCTGGCCTCCCTGCCTGTGCCATTAAACCCCTACAACTCATCCAGAATGCCGCAGCCCGTCTGGTGTTCAACCTTCCCAAGTTCTCTCACGTCACCCCCCTCCTCCGCACACTCCACTGGCTTCCAGTTGAAGCTCGCATCCGCTACAAGACCATGGTGCTTGCCTATGGAGCAGTGAGGGGAACGGCACCTCTGTACCTTCAGGCTCTGATCAGTCCCTACACCCAAACGAGGGCATTGCGTTCATCCACCTCTGGCCTGCTGGCTCCCCTTCCTCTGCAGAAGCATAGCTCCCGCTCAGCCCAGTCAAAACTGTTCGCTGCTCTGGCACCCCAATGGTGGAACAAGCTCCCTCACGACGCCAGGACAGCGGAGTCACTCACCACCTTCCGGAGACATTTGAAACCCCACCTCTTTAAGGAATACCTGGGATAGGATAAAGTATTCCTTCTAACCCCCCCCCCCCCCCCCCCCCCCCCCCCCAAATTGTAAAGTGGTTATCCCACTGGCTATAGGGTGAACGCACCAATTTGTGAGTCGCTCTGGCTAAGAGCGTCTGCTAATGACGTTAATGTGCCCTTGAGCAAGGCACTTAACCCTAATTGCTCCTGTAAGTCGCTCTGGATAAGAGCGTCTGCTAAATGACTAAAATGTAAAATGTAAATGTTGAACTTCTTCCATTTTCTAATAATTGCGCCAACAGTTGTTGCCTTCTCACCAAGCTGCTTGCCTATTGTCCTGTAGCCCATCCCAGCCTTGTGCAGGTCTACAATTTTATCCCTGATGTCCTTACACAGCTCTCTGGTCTTGGCCATTGTGGAGAGGTTGGAGTCTGTTTGATTGAGTGTGTGGACAGGTGTCTTTTATACAGGTAACGAGTTCAAACAGGTGCAGTTAATGCAGGTAATGAGTGGAGAACAGGAGGGCTTCTTAAAGAAAAACTAACAGGTCTGTGAGAGCCGGAATTCTTACTGGTTGGTAGGTGATCAAATACTTATGTCATGCAATAAAATGCAAATTAATTACTTAAAAATCAAACAATGTGATTTTCTGGATTTTTGTTTTAGATTCCGTCTCTCACAGTTGAAGTGTACCTATGATAAAAATGACAGACCTCTACATGCTTTGTAAGTAGGAAAACCTGCAAAATCGGCAGTGTATCAAATACTTCAGACGAGTCCCGTGACACTTGTGGGTTCCGTAGAGCAAAACGGAGAACACCATCGCGTTTGTGAGAGTCTCCCCTTTCCATAATAGTTTGTAGGCCAAACTGTCAGACCATGAGACATCTCAAAAATCTCACGAAAACGTCTGTAGCATCCGAACAAACACAGCTGTAGCTCGGCCACCTTCCACCGCAGAAGGTCGCCATAGGCGGATGCGGTGGATTGAGATGCAGCCCATGATATCTCTAGCTTAAACTGGTGGATTTAGATTGGAATTTTTGTTATTATGTTACTTAGATTGAACCACGAGTGCGTCAATAGACTCTTAAGGATATTTTAAATAAGAGGATAGAGGGAGTGAGGGAGAGAGAGAGAGGGGGCCGGCTGCTTTGTTGCCATGTGGCTGTGTCCCAAATTGCAATCCTATTCCCTACATAGTGCACTGCTTTTGACCAGGGTGTATAGGGTGCCATTTGGGACACAGACTGTATGTAGCCTTCTCATGTAGCCTGTCAGCTAGAAGGCATCTCACCCTCCTCGGCCCTCATTGTCCTAACTCCCCAAAGTTAATGACTTCACGCATTACTGTAAATGACTGGGATTGAAGTGAAGCCCCAGACCTAATGAACACTGTAGTTCACAGCAGCGCTGTTACCTGTCCTGATCTGTCCTGTCCTGCCCTGGGGTGGATGGGATGCTCAAGCGACTCCTAAAATGATTGCCAGAGGAGCAGTGAAGGGGATAACAATAGGGGAGGATAAGCTCTGGTAATCATGGCCAGCATATGTATGTGTGTGTGTGTGTGTGTGTGTGTGTGTGTGTGTGTGTGTGTGTGTGTTAGGGCCCTGGCTGGCTGGCTGGTCTGTATTCACGGAGCATCTGTCTCTCTCTGTGCATCTTAAAGCTGCTGACACACGACTCTCTACCTGGTCATCAATAATCAGCCCTGTGAACATCACTCACCGTCACCGCCCTGCCCCTGCCAACACACACACACACACACGCACACATGCACACAATCTTGGAGTCTTGCCATTAACAACTCTCCCACTGATTTTCAGAAGCCCCTGATTTACTATTATCATCAGACAAACCCTGACATTTTACCAAACACATTCTCAAACACTGTCTCAAACATGGAGCTGGATAGGAGAATGGCCCACGCAGTCCATAACACCACATGTCTACTACGTGTCTCTAAGCAATTAGTAAACCAGGTTATATCAGAGAGAGAGAGAGAGAGAGGGGGGAGGTAAGGAGGATTTCTGGTGAGTCAGACACTCTTTCTCCCACACAATGGCATCAATCAACAGGGCTCTCCCCTGCGCTACGCTGGGCCTGCTCTGCTCTGTGCTGCCTGACTGGGAGGATGTGAGGCCAGGGCCTATGCTGGGCTGTGTGCTCTCAGGCTGACCACTGTGGTGCCGGAGGGCTGGGGGAAAGATAACCCCTGACCCCTGCCTACCAGATGGCTCCAGGTAGGAACAAAACAACAATAAAAACAATAACAAGATAGTAACAGTCAGCAACCAGGCCAGGCCTCTGAGAGAGCCACTTAGGGTACTCCAATAATAAGGCTAGGAGAGGTCTGCGCATTAAACACCCAGGGATAGGTCAGATACTCACACATGGGCTTGAGTTGGCCAATCAGCTCCTCCTTGGTCCACTTGGCCCACTCCTTCTTGTCCGTGTTGATGGAGCACAGGATTGGCCCGCATGGCTTCCCGCAATCCTCTATGGCCGGCACATTCAAGTAGTGGACGAGCACGATGTCAGGGTTCTGGAGGAGAGAGAAAGAGTGGAGAGAGAGAGAGGAAAAAAGGG